ACTTATATAGGGGTTTTATTAGAACTGTACCCTGGGACCACAGACTAAGAAACAAATGAGCTGAGTGCTCAAGTTGCACAAAAAGTTAGGCTAGATCACACTTAGTTCCCTATATGCAAATAGGGTTTCAGTATCTGTAGTTCTGATTGGTGGGATGCTCCTCTAGCAGTCATTGGTTGAATTTCAATTTTGGCCTGCCTGTGGATAGCTAGTTTGCTTCAGTCTCTTAGAGGCGGTTATGTATAGGCCTGGACATGCCTGGAGTCCAGGTCTCAATCCCTGCTGACTCATGCAACTCCAAAATGTTTCATATTTCTTGTTACTTAGAAATTTCCTCATAGCACTTTATGATTTTTTTTTTTAAAGATTTATTTACTTACGCGTACAGAACTGGGGTACAGACCAGAAATGCAGGGGTGGTGAGAGGATTCACCAGAGACAGAGTGGGGAGCGGAACAGGCAGATGGATGAAGTCCACTGCCGAGGGGAGCAGTGGGTGGGTCAGGAGAGGTCTGTTGTGCCATATGGGTCACCTCTGGGGTGGGGATTGAACTTGTACTGCAGAGGCTGCAGACATAGACGGCTTCATAGTGCTGCACTTTAACTGTTGTGCCACCAGGGAGGACCTGCACGTTTTAATTTCAACAGTTTTGAATCTTAACTTTTTCTTATGGCATGCCTATATTGTCATCTCTTTCTGTGTAGAAAAACCAGATGTAGAATGAAAAAAATAATAAGACCAGTTTATCATCAAGATTTATATCTTGCAAGAAGAGATATAAAGCAAACACTGGTCCACATTTGCAGTGCATATGCTTCTCTGTATATTATGTCATTTTTCCCCCCGTGCTTACTAATATAATTTACTAAATTGGATCATAGCTGTTATCAGTTGTAACTTAAAGGCTTTGGAATTTTTATTATTTCATTTGCTTTGTAGATATATTAGTCATTTTTTCCTTCATAACAAAATTTTAAGGACTTGTGAGTACATACACATATTCATTTTTTCTTGTTCATGTTTATGCAGTTAAGATGTCTCTGCATCAGACTAGAGGTTAGATTTAGGTCTAATTTTGCTCCACAATCTTCTTTACTCATTATACTAGCAGGCTACCTGAACACATCATTCTCAGGGAGTGGCAGGAATAAAACTATAAGCCAAATCACCTTGAGCACGTTGAAAGCCTCTCCTCATATTAGGTCTGCTAAAAATATCCTAATTGCTAAAGCAAGCCAGTGACCAATTCTGACTCACTGGAGTAGGATGGGGTACCTCATGCATAGACTATGCAAAGTTACAGGGCAAAGGAGAACAGCTAAATAAAGCATTCATGTTTTTGTTTAACCCTACTAAGAACCTGGCACACACTAAATATAGTTTACTAAAATATAACAGAGGACTGATTTTTATATACATCTTCTAAGTGCATTATATTTTGAACTGAACATTTTAAGCAGTAGAAATAATACAGAAAAGTTGCAAGTGGAAATAAAACTTGCAAAGTGTTCTTTTTATCCCAGAAACATAAGTTTAAGGTTATTAAAATATCTTCAATAAAGTTTGTTTTATGTTATGTATTAAGAGTATGTTTTGGGGCTCAGGTTTAATTTTGACTCAAAATACTTAGCAGTCTGAAGTCATTAAACTTAGATGCGAGCAGCATAGCCAGCATAGAGGGGCTGAGTTCAGCTGTAAGCAGCTCTGTGGATTTGATTGAGTGTGCCACGGGGTACTCTCACCTGTCACCTTTGCCCTGGTATTGCTGTCTCAGTGAAGGTTTTCCATGAACACCGTATTCCACTGGGCGCAGCACCTTATTCGCAGGTGCTGGGTGGAAAATGCAGGCAGGGAACAGGAAGAGTGCATACACTCTCCCGACTCTCTAGTATCCAGACTTACCCCACGTGAGACCACAGCCCTAGCCGTCTGTGTCTGCAGGCAGTTTGTCCCCTGGGCCATGTGCCGTCGGCACCATGCAACTCCTGTGGCCACTGCTCTTCCATTTCCTCTATCTTCCCAGTCACAGCTGCAGGAGGTAAATGCAACATGGAGGCATTAGTTGTCACCACCACTCTCAGCTTCCTCTGGGGGTGCAGTAAACCCTTCAATGATAGCTTCCACTTCGGGAGGATTCATCGTTGAGAACTTTCAGAGCCATTTCCCCATGTTATCTATTTTTTTCTTTGTGATGGTTTCAGGATCTTGACTTCCTTTTTTGTGTGTCATGAATAGCTTTTCAATTCAGATACATGTTTTCAGATTTGCTATATATAAATATCTACTTTCTGGCTCTTGGTACTCAGCTTTAATTCATGGCAACAGGCTTGCACAGTGTTTCACAAGCGGACCTGTGGCATTTTAGAGGGTAACGGAGAACTTGATAGTGTCTTTCAGGGTTTTATTCTGTCATTGCCTTGCTTGCTGTTCTTCTGACTTCTTCGTGGAATCCCACTCCTTGCCATTTGAATTCTCCATATTCAGAAAAAAAGTTGAGGTTGACAGAAATTTCTTTGTTCTGAAATAGAATAAAGCTTTCTTGCTAATAAACTTTAAAGAGAAATAAATTAAGCACTTGGAATTGGAGGGGAATAGTTAATCTATACTTACAGTGTGGAGGCTGATTTTTGAGACTGAGGCACTTCGGAAAAATGCACTAAAATAACTGTTCTTAGAGAAGTAAGGAGAAGTTCAAAAGTGGCGTGTTATAATCTTAGCAATCTAATTAGAGTTAATTTTAATAGAACATTTTGTGAATAATAAAGGCAAGTTTGTGTGTTGTATTGAGACCCACTAAAGCTCTCAGTAGACTTAATAGTTCCCTAGAAACCTTTTCTTCCTGAAGTAGTTAGTGCAAGGTGCAGCAGCTTAAGTTTCTAGTACTGGACCTTCTGCTTTTCTAAAGTTTGCCTTATGCTATTTTGCTTTTACCGGAGGCCTATGGGCATACCTGTTTTCAATAATCAAAAGAAATCCAAAGAGGATTTTTGCTTTTAGGACAAAAGGGGAAAAGTGAGAAGGTTGTTGAGCGGTTGTTTCTCAGCAACTGCCCTGCGGCCTGTGCCCCGGAGCACGGAGGTGGCCCGCCACACTCCTTGTCCTGCTCTGTATTTGTCACCTCGTTCCTGGTTTTATTTTATGTTAGTGTTACTTCAGGTTTAGGTTTTTGTATTGCTTGGTATTTATTAGGTTATTTATTGAGTCTAGGGATATTAAAATTCTCCCATATAAATCAATGATAGTTGTTTTTTTTTTTTACACCATTTCACCTTACAAAATGTTCAACAGGAATGCTCTTCTTTCACATAGGAGTGGGGAAGTAGGACCTGTATTGACTGTTTCCTTTATTTCCTTATCATTGTCCTTGAAAGAAAGCCTCTTTCTGTTTTGAAAATGGCATATTTTATAACCGACATGTGTAATATTTTGTGGAATGCTCATACTCTGCTTCCTTTGAACAGAAGGAATGTTGTGGAAACTCAAAAGTAATGGTATTTATTATCATTTGTGTTATTGTAACTGTATATCCTTTAATGGTATGAAGAGGAAACTAAGATGTGTATTGCAAAACTGTGCAATATTAAGCATAACCTTAGCCTACTTTTTCACCGTGAAATTGAAAGTTCATTTTATTCTTGGCTTTTCAAAGCAAATATATTCATGAGACTATATATATGTACATACATACAGACTTGAAATTACAAACAGTACATAGTGGTCCTGTGTAGCCATCACTTAACTTTCCTTAATGGTATTATTTAATTAATTTTTAAAAAGATTTGTGCATACAAGAACTGGGGCACAGTGTAGGGGTTGAGAGGATTCACCAGAGACAGAGTGGGGAGTAGAACAGGTGAATCGACTGAAACACACGGCTGAGGGGAGCAGCAGGTGAGACAGGAGTGGTCTGCTGTGCTGCATGGGTCATTTCCTTGGCCAGGGATCAAACTTCAGCGCAGTGGCTGTAGATAGCTTCATATTGCTGTGCTTTAACTCATTGTGCCACCATGGAGGGCCCATTTGACTAATTTTTAAATCACTGAAAGACCTTCTGTGCCCTCTTTAATAAGACTGTTTTCTAAACTATCTTTCTTTTAAAAAGATAGCTATATTGTGCCTAATTGTCTCTAGCTTTCAGAACTATGACATGCCATGTGAGAATCCTTATGTCCAATAAAATGGAAGAAGTTTGAAGGACTTACGTGTAGGGAAACAAATCAGAATGAAAAAGACATGTACTAGACAATTACATAGCAGATTATTTGACAAAATAAAACACCTTTAAAAATTGGTGGACGCTAATAAACGAAGTGAGTTTTCTGAGGCTAGAAAAAGAGAGAGGGAGGGAGGAAGGGCCAAAGGAGACTTTAGAAGTATTGATGGAGGAAAAAAAAAATAAAAGAACTGAAATTGCTCTGAATAAGTATAATTATCAGTCATTATTGATTGAGATAACTATGAGAGGAATGAGTAGGCCATACATGACACCAAGATCTTAATTCATATCATGTTTCTAGATGATAACTAAATCTGTTAGGTGGCAGTTCGACTTAGAGAGGAAAATTGGGGCTGGGCTTTTAAATTGTTTTACATACCAGTCTAAATTAAGAAAATCTGGAGCATAGTATAATTTGAGACATATTTGCATTTTACTCTAGCATCTTAATACAAAAACATAGAACATTTGTACATGCATAAAATAATAAAAGTAATTAATGATGTTATATATTTTAAAAGGATCCTTATGTCACAATTGCTTTATTTCTATTACATTCTTTTCCATTTCCCCATTTCCAGACTGTATCACTGATCTCATCTACATCTCTGGTGTATTTCTTTCCAGCAATCTAAAAGATATATAAGCCCCATTTTATGCTATGTATTGAAAAAAGCATAATGAATGGAATATTCAGTCTTCTTGGTTTGAGCTTATTTTGGTGGTGTTTGAAAACTTGAGAAGTGTTTTTTTTAAACATCATCTTTTTTTTTTCCCTTTTAGCCTGAAAATGAAATTTCTGCAGACTGCAATCATGTAAGTATGGATTTTATTTATTTCACTGTATATGCTTTTTATGTGAGATGACAGATTTTGGGATGCTTTTCCAGTTGTTCTGGGAAGCATTATGTTTTCTTAGATTTTCCTTACAGAAGGATGATAAACCTTGCCGAAGGTCCACAGTGATGTACAGGTTCCCCTCCATTGTAGAAGCCAGCAGGTCTGCCAAGTAACAGTAATGCATTTAAGCTTATAGTTTTCTTCAGTTACAGCTGCCATTGAAAAGGATTGTTCTCTGCCTTATCAACTCTGTTTTACTACTTTAAAATGCCATATTTTAATATTACTTATATAATCACCATATATTCATTTGCCATGTGCTACTGGTAGATACTAGAGAAACACAGACACTTTAAACACCTTGAAGACAGAGACATGTATTAAAAATCAGAGTAAGAACACCAGAGATAGCTGTACTTACTTAATACATCAGTCATGTGCACACACACACACACACACACTCCAAGGAGACTGGTGTGAAGTCAGGTATATGCAAAAAATACTGGGTGTTTTGGAGGAAGTCTACATGGAGCTCAGTGGGAACACAAAGTCATTCTTGTCCAGGTGGGTTGAAGTCAGGAAAGATAATACCTGAGCTGTGTAATAAAGAGGAAGTAGTTACATATTTGATAGTACAGGAAGAAATCCCAGTAACAAAGCAGAAGGTCTGGATGGGAGACTACCAGAACAGAGAAGCTGGGTGGCTGCTTAGGTTGCTAGTTTTTCAAAAGTTGCTCTAGATAGACAGAGATTTAAAGCAAAAATAAAACCACAAGAGAGCTAAAAGAAAACAGTAACATGAGAAAAGTTCTTCTAAACCTGACTCAATTCCAGAAAATATTTAAAACTTTGTAAATCTGATTGCAAAAAAGGTTTGAAGTTATTTCTTTTCTCTCAAAAGTATCATGTAACTTATGAGAAAGTATTTGGAGATGAGAAAGTATAAAGTGAAAAGGACTATATATATATATATATTTTTTTTTTTTTAAAGATTTACTTATTTGTACAGAACTGGGGTACAGGCCAGAGATGCAGAGGGTGAGAGGATTCACCAGAGACAGAGCGGACAGCAGAACAGGCAGATCGACGAAGTACACTGCTGAGGGGAGCAGCAGGCAGGTCAGGAGAGGTCTGCCACGCCATGTGGTCTCCTCCAGGGCAGGCGGGGATCAAACTCACGCGGAAGCGGCTTTAGCTTCTTTGTGCTGTGCAACAGGGAGGGCCAGGACTGTACTTTTATATAGAAAATATTATAAAAAAGCAGCTTATAGTAAGCTGTTTATAAGGAAGGCAAAAGATGTCCAATAAGCAACAAAAAAGATGACTCTCTACCATAATTTAGAAATATGAAAAAGAAAAGAAAAATGAGTGTACTGTTTTCATCCATTTTATTAGCAAATATAAAAGATTTGGTAAATGCACATTATGGGGGAGAATATGGAGGGTTTAAGCATTCTTTAGCCTACTGATCAGAAAACTACTACTACCAGTCTGCCCGATCCAGAACACTGCCCTTTTTATGCATAAAGTTTCTTGGAACACATATCAGTCATTCACAGCCATTGATTTACACATTATCTGAGGCTGCTTTCCATGCTATAGTGTCAACCTGTGTTGAGTTCCCTTCTTACTTATATTCCTGACTGGGAAAAATAATGCATTAATAGATCATATCAGAAGATGAGAAAGTAGATTAACAGTTGCCAAAGGATGAGAGTAGGGTGAATGGAGTGACAATAGGTAAGCGGTTTCTGTTTGTGGTGTTCTACAATCAGAAGGTGGTGATGGCTGTGCATTCTTGTGAATATAATAAAACCACTGAATGGACACTTTAAAAAATCCACTGAATTGTACATTGAAGGTAACGGTATGTTAATTACATCTTAAAAATGAAAGATAACTTATGAAAGGTAGAATATTTAAAAATTGACAGTTTTGTCAGAGTTAAGTCCTGTTCGTAAGTGTCTATTTTCAGAGCTAATAAGGCTCAAAATTAAAAGCTAAATATCAAGAGTTAAGTAATTAAATGACTGTTGAAAGAAAACCTGTTTTCTAGTGCAACCACAGGACATATTGTAGTTTTTTTTTTTTAAACAACAGTATAAGCTTTATTTTGATTGAGTATATATTCCGCTATTACTATTTCCAATTGAGTATATATTCCATTATTACTTTGTTCAGTTGTGTTTTGATGGACATTTATTTAGTTTGATTTCCACATTTTGCCTATTAGGAATTCTGCTGCTATGGATATAGAGGTGAATAAATCCTTCAGTGTTAATGTTTTTATATTCTTTGGATTCAATACCTAGCAGAATATTACCTGACTTTATTGGTATATTCATTTATATATATATATATGTATATATGTTTATTAACATATATATACACACACATATATATACACACACACACAGACACACACACACACACACACACACACATATATATATATATATATATATATATATATATATATGTTTATTTTCACATTATTTTGTGCATTTTTTCATCTCAGTTGTAATCCCCATGGGTTTCCCATCACCAGATCACCCATTTGCCAACACCAAAGTCCAGTGCATTTCCCTCCCCCAACTGTTCTTGAACCCCTTCCCCAGTCCACCCCCATGAAATGTCTCTGGTATATAGCTGTTTATTATTATTATTATTTTCTTGCCTGGTCTGTTATACTCCTGATATGAGTGAAACCGGTAATTTTCCTTTTCTTTCTGGCTTATTTCACTAAGTATCATCTTCTTCAGCTCCATCCATGTTGCTGCAAAAAACAGATGTTTATTCATTTATTTATTTTTGTTGCTTAGTGATATTCCATTGTGTTTATGTACCACATCTTTTTGATCCAGTCATCCACTTTTGGGTATTTGGGCTGTTTCCATGTCTTTCCAATTGTAAATAAGGTAGCAATAAACATGGGGGTGCAGGTATCTTTTTTAATCAGTGTTTTTGTATCTTTTGGGTAGATAGATACCCAGTGTAATTGCTGGGTCATATGGAAGCTCCATGTTAAGCAGTTTGAGGAACCTCCAAACAGTTTTCCATAGTGGTTGTACTACTTTGCATTCCCACCAGCGGTGCAGGAGAGTTCCTTTTTCTCCACATCCTCGCCAACATTTGTTGTTGCTAGTTGTTTTAAGATGTGCCATTCTCACTGGGGTGAGGTCGTCTCTTATTGTGGTTTTAATTTGCATCTCCCTTATTACGAGTGATGTTGAACATTTTTTCATATGCTTGTTGGCCATCTGCATTTCCTATCTGGAGAAGTTTCTTTTTAGCTCTTCTGCCCATTTTTTGATGGGGTTTATTTTTGTTGAGTTTCATCAGTTCTTTGTATATCTTTGTGATCAATCGTTTATCACTCGTTTTGTGTGAGAAAATTTTTTCCCAATCAGTGGGATTGTCTTTTGTAATGTCTCTTTTGCTGTACAAAGCTCTTTAACTTGATGTAGTCCCATCTATTTATCCTTGCCTTCACTGTTGTTGCATTGGTGCACTATCTTTAAAGATATCACTGAAGTGTATGTTGTGTAGCGTTTGGCCCATCTTTGCTTCCAGGTATTTTATGGTTTCTACTTTTATGTCTAGGTCTTTAATCCACTTTGAGTTGATTTTTGTGTATGGTGTGAGGTAGTAATCTAGTTTCATTTTTTTGCATGTAGCTTCCCAGTTTTCCCAGCACCATTTGCTGAACAAACTTTCTTTGTTCCATTGTATTTTCTTTGCTCCTTTGTCAAAGATTGACTGCCTATAAACCTGTGGGTTTTATATCTGGGTTTTCTCTTCGAATCCACTGGTCTGTATGTCTGTTCTTGTTCCAGTGCCATGCAGTTTTGATTATTATGGCTTTGTAGTATAGTTTGAAGTTTGGGATTGTAATGCCTCCATTCTCTTTCTTCAGAGTCATGAGAGTTTTGCCTATTCAAGATCTTTTGTTGTTCCATATGAATCTCATCAATATTTTTTTCTATTTCTTTGAAGAATGTCATTGAGACTTTTATTGGGATGGTGTTAAATCTGTATATCACTTTTGGTAGGATGGCCATTTTGATGATGTTAATTCTCCCAGTCCATGAGCAGGGGATGTCTTTTCCATTTCATGGTGTCTTCTTGTATTTCTTGTAACAGTGTTTTGTAATTTTCTTTGTAGAGGTCTTTTACCTCTTTTGTTAGGTTGACTCCCAGGTATTTGATTCTTTTTGTTTTAATTGAAAAGGGGATGGCTTTTAAAATTTCTCCTTCTTCTGATTGGTTGTTTGTGTATAGGAAGTCCTCTGACTTTTGTATGTTGATTTTATATCCTGCTACCTTGCTAAACTGGTTGATGGTTTTGATTAGCTTCTCTGTGGAGTTTTTAGGATTTTCCATGTAAATTAACATATTGTCTGCAAATAAGGACAGTTTTACTTTTTCTTTCCCTATTTGGATTCTTTGTATGTCTTTTTCCTGTCTTATTGCTGTGGCTAGAACTTCCAATGTTATGTTGAAGGGCAGTGGTGATAATGGAAAGCCTTGTCTTGTTCCTGATCTCAAAGGAAAGGCTTTCAGCTTTTCTCCATTGAGAATAATATTGGCTGTGGGTTTATCTTATATGGCTTTTATCATGTTGAGGTATGTTCCTTCTGTTCTGAGGATTTCGAGGGCCTTAAACATAAATGGGTGTTGAACTTTGTCGAATGCCTTCTCCCCATCTATTAATATAACTATGTGGTTTTTATTCTTCTGTTGGTTGATGTGATGGATTGCATTAATTGATTTTCTGATGTTGAACCATCCTTGTGCTCCTTGGTCGTGGTGTATTATTCTTTTAATGCATTGTTGGATTCTGTTGGCTAAGATTTTGTTGAGGATTTTTGCATTGGTGTTCATTAGGGAGATTGGTCTGAAGTTTCCTTTTTTGTGTGTTTTCTTGTTAAGTTTTTGGTACTAGTGTGATGTTGGCTTTGTAGAACGTATGTGGTAGTTTTCCTTCTTTTTGGATTTTTTGGATGAGTCTGTGTAGAACAGGCACTAGTTCTTTCCTGAATGTTTGGTAAAATTCATTTGTAAATCCATCTGGTCCTGGGCTTTTATTTTGGGGGAAGGTTTTGATTACTTCTTCAATTTCCTTGCTTGTAATTGGCCTGTTTGGTTGTTCTATTTCTTCTTTATCAAGCTTTGGGTGGTTGTAGAGTTGTAGCGATTTGTCCATTTCTGCTAAATTGTTGAACTTGTTTGCGTATAGTTGTTCATATTGTTCTGATTATTCTTTTGATTTCTGCTGGGTCTGTTGTGATTTCTCCTCTTTCATTTATGATTCTGTTTATTTGTGCTTTCTCTTTGTGAGCCTGGCTAATGGGCCTGTCTGTTTATTTTTTCGAAGAGCCAACTTTTGGTTTCATTGATTTATTGGACTGTTTTCTTAACTACCATTTCATTTATTTCTGATTTGACTTTTATTATTTCCTGTCTTCAAATGGCTATGGGGTTATTTTGTTGTTCTTTTTTCAGTTTTTTAAGGTGGGACATTAGGTTGTTTCTTTGAGTTATTTCTTGTTTCCTTATGTGAGCCTGTATTGCTATATACTTTCCTCATAACTGCTTTTAGTGTGTCCCATAAGTTTTGGACACTTGGGACATATTGTAGTTTTTATAAGATAAAGTAAGGCAGTACTATGTGAGTCCATTGACTATTTCTATTTTTCTGACATTTTTTGTTGTTGACTGTAAATCCTTGAGTTAACAGTCTTTCTTTGAAAGAAATGATGTAGGGTCAGCTACAGGATAGCTTAAGAAGGAGGAAATACTTTAATCCATCTTTGATCTACACCCAGAATTAGAATAGTTGGAAAGAAGAGTGATGTATTAATTTTAAAATACAAAATTTAATGGCAGTGTGGTACTAGCTTAGTTCATAGATAGTAATAAAATGTATTTGTTTTTATCCTAGCCGTATTTTTTGAATCATCTGACTCATCACTACATTTTGAGGAGTCAGAAAAATCCTTCATTCCTCCAGGTGGAAATAAAACTTCTCCCGGGCCCTCCCTGGTGGCACTGTGGATTAAAGTGCAGCACTAAGAGGCTAAAGCCACTGCAGCATGAGTTTGATCCTGCCCGGGATGTGACCCAGATGGCTCAGCAGACCTTTCCTGACCTGCCCACTGCTTTTCTCAGCAGTGTACTTCAATAGTCGGCCTGTTCTGCTCCCTACTCCGTCTCTGGCGAATCCTCTCATTGCCCCTGCACCTCTGGCCTATATCCCACTTCTTTATGCATAAATAAATAAATCTTTAAAGAAAAAAAACGAGAAAAAAAAAAAAAGAAATAAGCCTTTCCTACCTGCTCTCATTTTGGCCTCTTATGTGCTCTTGATTGACCTTGTCACTCATCTTGGTGTTCATTTGTTAGTTTGTTCATCTCTTCAACAAATGTATATTGTTGCCTGCGTGTGCTACTGATTCTTCTAAGCACTGGGCACACGGTGGTAAATGAGAGAAAAGTCTCTTGTTCTTCTTAGAGCTTTTATTGTAGATGGTGGTCAGGTTCTAGTCTTCTAAAATCTCATTTACTGGGATGTATACGTTTTTTTTTTACAGGTCTTGCTTCCCCCATTCCCCCCTTGTTTTTTGAAGGGAAAGAAATCCTGTTTATACTTCATGTTTTTATTTCTTAACAACAACTTTCTCCATACTATAGAATTAAATGCTTGTTTCTGTGTTTTCCCTAATGCACTTTTAAAAGTCTCTGTTCTGCTTCCAAAAAGCAGATTTTGTCATTTCTTACTCCTGAGCTTTATCCTCAGTGACTCCCTGTTACATTTAGGTAAAAGTTCAAATATGGCCCCCAAGGGCTTTATGATCTAGCCTGGCCTGCCTCTCCAGGGCTGAGTCCTCTGTTGGAATTTCAGTTGCTTCACAGGCCCTGATGCTCATGGGGGTGAGCTTTCACATATAAGCTGTTTCATTTACTTAAAACAATCTTCCCCCTACCCCTTTAGTATAGCTAACTGCTATTAATCTTTCAGGTTTCATCTTAGTACTTTCTCTGGTAAACCTTCTCTGACCAAATCCCCACCACAGTCTGGGGTTCTCCTCCCCTGTATTGCTGTGGTGTCATTACTAAACATTTTTATTTTATTACCTCCCATTGACCATAGACACCACTGGACAATCTTTATCCTTCCTCTGTGTCTGCTTTTCCTCCCATTTCTTACACAATGCATATACAAACATTTGCTTCAGTTTCCTCTAATCATCTGTGAAGCCCAATCGTCTATGAAGCCCCTTGAGATTACATTGTGTGGGCTACATCATTAGAAGTGCTAAGTAGATGTCTGAAACAACCAGCAAGTGGTTGATTGTATTCTTAGTCTTGGATTGTAAGGAGAGAAAGGCAGCTCATTCTCTCCCTACCCCCAGAATCTCTTCCTGTTTTACAACATCCCCTACTCTATCTCTCCATCAGAGCAGAGTTCAAAGTCTTGTTTTTACTACTTACTTTATACTGGATCACTTATTGAAAATTTATAACTGAAGCTGCAAAGATAAATATGCAACTCTTAACCTGTGACAGGTAGTGGTTATAGATATTTTCTTGATTAAGACATGTTAAAACATTTGAGCTAAGTAGACCTCATAGTGTATTTATCAGATCAAAAATATGAAAAGAATGGAACTACCTGGAAACTACTGGTTGTGAAACCTGCAACCAAAAATCTGAGCCTCAGGGTTCGACTTTTTTTTTTTTTTTTAAGATTTATTTATTTGTACATACAGAACTGGGGTACAGGCTGGAGGCTCAGGGGCGGCAAGAGGCTTCACCAGAGACAGAGTGGGGAGCAGAACAGGCAGATCCATGAAGCACACTGCTGAGGGGAGCAGCGGGCGGGCCAGGAGAGGTCTGCCACACCATGTGGTCACCTCCGGGGCAGGCGGGAATCGAACTCATGAAGAAGTGACGTTAGCTTCTCAGTGCAGTGCTTTAACCCGCTGCACCACCAGGGAGGGCCCAGGGTTCGACTTTTTTATGTAAGCAGAACAGAATGTTTCTAAAACTTTACAGGTGGTTTAATTTAATTTTATTTTCTCTTTACTTTTTTTTTTTTAAAAGATTTATTTATTTTGTACATACAGAACTGGGGTACAGGCCAGAGGCTCAGGGGTGGTGAGAGGCTTCACCAGAGACAGAGTGGGGAGCAGAACAGGCAGATCGATGAAGTACACTGCTGAGGGGAGCAGCGGGCGGGTCAGGAGAGGTCTGCCACACCGTGTGGTCACCTGCGGGGTGGGCGGGGATCGAACTCATGAAGAAGTGACTTTAGGTTCTCAGTGCAGTGCTTTAACCCGCTGCACAACCAGGGAGGGCCCTTCTCTTTACTTTGTAATGACTTTGAGTTCATACCTTTGAAAAGTTGTCCTTTAGTTAAAATAAACAACAACAACAAAATATTTTGTCTTCATAGTGTTTTTCCTTTTATCTAAAAATTATTTGGCATTTTATCTTTACTGTTTTTATTGGTGTGAATATGCTTTATCTGGCTCTGTACAATGACTTTTTATCATGTGTTTATAATAACCATAAATGATAAATTTGATACTGTTAACTGGATCTTTTATTTTTCTTTTTAGTTGTTGTGGAATTACAAGCTAAATCTAACTACTGATCCCAAATTTGAATCTGTGGCCAGAGAGGTCTGCAAGTCTACCATATCAGAGGTAGGTTGTCAGAGAATTTTGTAGGTATTGAATGGCTTAGAAGAGAATATTAAATCTATTGACTAGACCAGTCCTTAAGAGAGGAATGACTCACTCTATTACTTTACTTTCCTTAGAATTCGTTTGTGTATTGGTTGAGAGATAGGGCTGTGATTAGACTTCTTTTGGTTTACATCCACCTATTTACTGTAGAATGCTGTTGATTCAGACATCTTGGAAATCAGGCTCAGACTTCGCTGGGCCCCAAACAGAACAGAACTGTTCTGTTTTCACACATTGTACAATCAGCTGTGCCTGTGGCATATCAGAAGGGTTTCCTCACGAGGCCTACAAGTGTTCCTAAGTGTTTGGGCTATGCAGTTGGATCACCTGAACTCCAGGAGCAAATGTTTCAAATATAATAGGAGTTAGCTTAAAGAAGGTTTGTAAAAAATATTGTGTTTAATGTTATAAATGAATGTTGAGTATAAGGACAAAAATAATTAATAAAAATGTATATCATTCTTATGACTACTAATTGGGGAAAATTTTCAGTAATTTCTCTTGGTGTAACTATTTACTATTAGTGTAAATAAATAATAGTAAAAATTGTAGCGTTACAATTTTTGAGTTGGGGGATCCATTTCAGAGTTTTCAGAGTTTATGATCATAGATCTTAGAACACGTTGATCTGTCCTTAAGCTACCTCATAGGTGACTTTGGTCCAGACCAGTTTTTCCTGAGCTTTTACAGAAAAACCTGTTCACCCAGATAAGCCCTCAGCCATCTATATTCCTTACTTATGTCATTATGAGAACTTATAGAACCTGCTTTCTTCCTCATACCTAATACTGGATCAGATTTTTTTTTAAATCAGCAGCTTCATTTTTACCTTAGGGCTTCTGAACAGAATAGTTGATCTTAGTAACATTGATCTTCAACTTCTAGCCTTAAGAAACTGTCTCTCAAACTCCCTTAGCCAGTTCTATGAGTTTACTGTACATGACAATTTGCCATGTAGAAATTCACCTTAGAGTAGATGCAAATTCACCAAAACAACTACACTCTTTGCTGGCTTATTTTGTTTGTTTGTTTTATGTAAGAAAATAAATTTGACAAGGGTGAGTTTCTTATAAAGCATATGTAATGACAGTTCTTTTGGAGTGTTGTAGTTTTGTTAAGGATTTGTGTAACTAAAGAATATCTCCCTCCTCAAAGGAAGGATTGCACTGGATCAGAGAAATTAATTATCAGGAAAGAATCTACTTTCAACAAATGTTTTCTCCTACTTGCAAGGAGAAAAACAACATCACAAAAATAACTGCAAACTAAGCCTTCATTTACTCTACATGGCTGAGCCAAATACTGCCTGCTTTCCTCCTGCTTCATGTCAAAAGTAGAGTGACTATTGAATTTTTCTAACTTAATGAATCTGCTCCCCAACTGCTTCAGAGTTTATACTCCCATTCATAAAGATGTTGATGATTTAATGCTTCTTTGCGGATAGTATTAGAACTTTTATTTCTCTTATTCTATTTAGTTGAAAGGTTGAAGAAAAGCTCAAACTTTAAAACCTGTTGTAGTTGGTGATAAGCTAGAAATAGATCTTAGAGCTCTGTGGTTCAGTAAAGTCTCATGATTGATACTCCATATATATTTAATTTCTTATTGCCAAATGTGTTCATGGTTTTCCTTCAGATTTTTGAACTGCTGAAATTAGGGCCTTATGAATACTTCTTCATTAAGTTTTAAAACCCAGGTACCTGCCACTAGAACTGTTTTTCATAATACGGGTTTTTTCCCCAATGGGTGATGTACAAATACTGAGATTTTTCAAGTAGCTGTATCTTCTTTCCCTTTGAAACTTAACTATTTACCTCAAAAACAAAACCTTTTCCTGGAAATATTCATGACCCTTGCATAAAGGGTGTTCAGTTAAACTGAAAAAATTGTATCTATCCTCACTTGAAGATCTGTGCTACCTCTAGAAACCAATATGAGACTACTTACTTAAATCACTAATTTTTTCTTTAACAGTAAACACAATTTTATGTCTTAAGTTGAATCTTTGACTTGGTCTTGATTTGATCTTGGGGGGTTGGACATAACAAGACCTAGTTGCCCGTAGGATTGCATGTGGCATGTCCTTCACCCAGCGCCTTTTGGAAAGGGAGATTGTATTTATTTTACCCTGTGTACATATTTACAATAGATAGTGTGATAGTGAAGCATGTGCCCTATTGGTTTCAAAATGCTAGCAAAACATTCCCTTCTCATTCATATTCAAAATAAACATTTACATTTGGCTCCTTCCTCTTGTCAAACCTGCCATTTTTGTTTGTTTTTAATTTCTCCAAATGCAGTAGACTTTTTTCAAACAACCTTCTCTGCTTTATAGTTCAAGCTTATAAGCCTGTAAGTAGATTTTACTTTTTAATGCTTGAATTTCAGCATTTTTTAGCTAGTTTGCTTTATTAGCTCTTGTGGTTTGGGATGCACTTTGTAGGAACATTAACCCCATGGAATCTCTCCTTTGCTTGACCCACTAGATGATATGTCTAAACCACCCAAATTACTTGTGCAGTGCCTACCCTTCCCAATGAACATCATCATTTTAAACATGTTTCCAGACCACAGTGGTGAAACCGGGATTCTACTAAGTTCAAAAACACACGTCCAAATCTTTGGTTAACTGAGAACACATTAATGTCATGTCAAGAAGTAATATTATGCTTTTACTATCCCTCCCCTTGCCAGTAGGTTTATCTAACAATAACAGTTGCTGTGGAGCTTGGCTTGGGATATGCAACTAGATTGCAATTCTGCACCTGTTTTCCAGACCTGTAACCTAGACTAATCTCCTACAATTAATCCAGTGCATTCTTACATGGATAGAGGGACTTAGTAATAGAGCATATGTTGAAGCTGCAAATATTAACAGCTTATTAATAATATTCAGTAAAATTAAAACAAAATTTTTTTTTTACTTTTTTCATAGAAGAACTGGGGTACAGGTTAGAGGTGTGCTGTGTGGGAGGATTCAGCAGAGACAGGGAGCAGAACAGGCCAATGTACTGAAATATAATGCTGAGGGGAGCAGTGGGTGAGCCAGGAGAGATCTGCTGCATCATATGTGGGTCAGCTCCCTGGCCGGGGATTGAACTCAGGCTGCAGTGTTGATAGCCACCAGAAAGGCCCCCTATTTTTTTTTTTTTAATGTATTTCCAAGTGTTTTCCTTACATTTTCTTAAGTATAGAGAATAGAAAATCAACACAAAAATTGAGACATTTTTTATTAAGCTTGTTTTTCGAATGAGAATAGAATACTTGTGATAAAACAGTCATTTTCTTTTGAGCAGATTAAAGAATGTGCTGATGAGCCAGTTGGAAAAGGTTACTTGCTTTCCTGTTTGGTGGATCACCGAGGCAACATCACTGAGTACCAGTGTCACCAGTACATCACCAAGATGACAGCCATCATCTTCAGTGATTACCGTTTAATCTGTGGCTTCATGGATGACTGCAAAAATGACATCAATATTCTGAAATGTGGCAGCATTCGGCTAGGAGAAAAGGTATCTACTATATTGGTCTTCCCGAAAGGGGTCTTGTGAACTTCATGAATGAAAAGCTTTGTATAACTGGTATAGGGAAAAGCTGGGGCTAGAGATAGTCTTAAGGTTGAAGTGCAGACAATCCCACCCTTGTGAATGCATTTCATCTGTGTGTAAAAAAATATTTCACTGCTCTGGGGAAGTAGAGGAATTAGTACCTACTAAGAGTAGTTTTATCTTCAAAGTACTAAACCAGTTGTTGATTACCTATAATATTCTTTTGGCAAAGCATATCATCTTATTTTCATATTATTGTGGGGAAAGGAGGTAGATTAGGAGAGACTTTAGCTCTGCATATTGTTCAGTGTTACTATAAAAAAAACTTCATCAGCAGTTTAAAACGAGACCTGTAAGTATTAGAAACATTTAAGATTGGTGAAGGAATTTCTAGCTTGTTAGAAGAAAGGAACTCTTTATTTTATGTCAGAGGAACTTGTTTTTAGGAAAGACAGGACAGAAAATAAGTATCCGGGTAATTTCTTTTTCCCTAATTATATCTGATTTTGGTTTTGTCTTTATTATTCTGTTGTCTGGAGGTTACAATGGTTTTATCCTGAATTTATAATATTCAGCACAAATGAAAGAAACTCCTGAGAAGTGAGATGGCTGCTCATAGAAGAGGTCGACTGAAACCTATGACTTAGACTGTTAATTGCCACTACTCACTTATCTTTTAGGAAGTATGACAGAAAATTAAATTCTTGTGTCTTTTTGCCCTCTATTTGTTCACTGTACTGTGGTTTGCAGGCATCCTTTCCTGACAGAGGGAGCTGTAGCTGGCCTGAAATCCTTTTCTTTGCACCAACACAGGTTCTGCTCCTTTCACAGGACACCTCTGAGGCAAGCTGGAGAGTACTGTGAACTCGGCATAAAGCATTCAAGCAGCTAAAGAAAGTCCAGTTTTAATAAAGAAGATAGGTTCTTTTTCCCCCTCTCCAGCACATTCTAAAAAGGACACAAAAGGACTTAAGTCCCCTGATCATTCAGGAAGCTCCTTTTATTTTATTTAGGGTTTAGAGTTTGCATCCAGTTCCAAACCTCTCTCTAAATCTTCACATAATATGTTCCAGACGCGCTGTGAGGAATCAGCACCTTTCACTATTGGTGGTCAGTCACGCACACTGTGGAGCAGACCACTCCTGCTCGCCTCTGTCCATTGTAGTACTTCCCTGTTGGCCACTGGACACCCTTGGTTGGCCTCCCACTGCAGTGTGACCTGTCAGCATGAAACCTGCCCCCTGCTGCATGTACAGTGACTGAAAGGGCTGCTGGAGCCCCAAAACCTCATAGTGAAGATGGTTTTTTTACTTTTAAAAAAATAAGAAATTTTTTTTCTATCACCATCACAATACATAATTTTTTGATCATGTGAAAGTTTTTTGTACTTAGCAACTAGATGAGTTTCTATCCATACCAGGCCCCCATCCTAGCATCAAAAGCTTTCTTGTATTTTGGGGACAGTGATTTGGACTCATATGTCACTCTGGTGTAACAGCCGTGTTTAAAAATGAGGGAGGCATATCCTTAGCCCTTCTTTGCCTTTTCTGACTATATTTTACTTCTCTGAAGTCACTTAATTTGATATGTAATAGGTTGACTGCTGAGTATAGAAGAAACAGGCCTATCACTTTGAAATTTGTTTCCAAAAATTCAATTGAAAACTCTGTGAAAACTCCTCTGTGACTGGATCTGAACTGAACTGACTTCCTCTAAAGATCAGAGAGAGTCATGGTTAATCTGTTTGTTCCCTGCCCCTTTATGAACATTTAAGTGTCATGATTTCAAACCTCTAATGAATTTTCTGAAAATTTTAATAAACATTTTAGAACAAAGACTATATTAGTAAAAACTTTATTTTCTAAATAAATAACATTAAAATGAAAGTGCAGATCTCCAAACTTCATTGTATCATCCCATTTTTTTAAAAGATTTTTTTATTTATGCATACAGTATTGGCATATAAGCCAGAGGTACAGGGACAGTGAGAGGATTCACCAGAGACAGAGTGGGGAGCAGAACAGGCTGATTGACGAAGTCCACTGCTGAGAGGAGGAGTGGGCGAGACTGGAGTGTTCTACCACGCCATGTGTATCACCTCCGGCCTGGGGATCAAACTTGGACTGAAGCAGCTGCGGCCCTTGCAGTGCTGCGTCCTTACCTGTTGTGCCACCAGGGAGGGCCCTGTATCATCCCATTTTTTTTTTTTTAAAGATTTATTTATTTATTCGTACAGAACTGGGGTACAGGCCAGAGATGCGGAGGGTGAGGGGATTCACCAGAGACAGAGCGGGAAGAAGAACAGGCAGATTGACGAAGCACACTGCTAAGGGGAGCAGCGGGCGGGTCAGGAGAGGTCTGCCGCGCCATGTGGTCACCTCCGGGGCAGGCAGGGGTCGAACTCATGCGGAAGTGGCTTTAGTTTCTCAGTGCAGTGCTTTAACCCACTGCGCCACCAGGGAGGGCCCAGTATCATCCCATTTTTAACCAATTACTTTGAATAATTTTTCTCCCTTTGCTTAGTGGAATAGATCACAAAACACTAGAAACATTGAATGGTTAATAGCAGAGATGAAGACAAAGTCCTTTTGCCTACTTTTGTTTTCTTTTCCTAGAACAAAACGGACAAGTTATGTAGAGAATTAAAATATACTACCAATTGACAGACATTTGTCTCATAATACAATTTTTAAAATTCGTTTTAGTCCACTTTCAAGGTCATTTGTTTTTCACATGTCAAGCCTGTGTACTAAAAACTTTTTAAACTGAAATGATTTTATTTTCTCATAGATAATATGCCAGTGTGTAGTGCTCCTCCCTTGATTTCATTCATATTCAGTAATTAGTCGTGCAGCTTTCTTTGTCAAATATTTGAATACATTTCTGTTCTAAAACTCAGTTGGGCTGAATTGAAAAGATAAGAGACACTGAGGAACTGAGAAGAATTTCTGAAAAATCTTTATTTGAAAATGTTATCTAAGGTTATGATGAATGACAGGTAGTAGAGATTAATGTTATGGCCCAGGACCAAGTGTGTTGTGCCTCAAGAGCTGTAATTAAAAGTAATCTCAGGCCCTCCCTGCTGGCGCAATGGGTTTGAAGCGCAGCACTGCAGAGCTGGCTGCAGCCGCTTCAGCCCTCATTCTATCCCCGCCTGGAGCTGACCCACAGGGCACCGCAGACCTCTCCTGACCCTCCCGCTGCTCCCTTGAGCAGTGTGCTTCGTCCATCTGCATGTTTTGCTCCCCACTCTTGTCTGATGAATCCTCTCTGACCCTGCACCTTTGGCCTATACCCCTGGCCTGTACCCCAGTTCTGTATGAATAAATACATAAATCTTAAAAAAAAAAAAAAAGTAAACCTCAGATTCCTTGGAGGGATTCTCATACCATGATGATTCTGCTGAAATATAGCAGCCCTAAATAATGCCTTTTAGATTGGTTGGATTTTTATTTTTATTTTTATTTTTTTTTAAAGCAAATGACGTTCACTTGAAACTCAATGTAGTGAGGTGTTTTGTTTTTTTTAAATATTGCTGTCTTTGCTATTTTAGGATGTACATTCACAAGGTGAGGTGGTATCATGTTTGGAGAAAGGCCTGGTGAAGGAAGCAGAAGAAGGAGATCCCAAAATTCAGGTCTCTGACCTCTGCAAGAAAGCCATCCTCCGGGTGGCTGAATTGTCTTCAGATGACTTTCATTTGGACCGACATTTATATTTTGCTTGCCGAGATGATCGGGAGCGTTTTTGTGAAAATGTGAGTGAACTCAGAAGCTTTTCTTCCTTTTTTTAAAAAAATATATTTTAAGTACACTATTCCAAAATAAACAAACCAACATAAAACCTTCCATGTTGAGAAATCACTGAAGTAGAAGATAAGTTGTTCGAAAGTAGTGTAGCAGGTGCTCTGTCCTCATGATTCCTCATGCAGGTAACAACTGACTTCTGACAGTCTCCATACATTATTTTGTCTATTTTATCTCATTTCTCTATTTCAATTCTTGGAAGTCAGTTTTAGCTCTAGAAATCTTATCTATTCCACGGCTAAAATTTTTCCATATTGCTTATTTCTATCTATGTCTGTGGCTAAGATGAAGAACAGCAGGAGGTTATTTTTGACACTAAATCCTTGATTAATACTTGCAGACCCTTTAGAAAAACTTTCTAACCTTTAAAGTAAATAATATCTAACATTACAACAAAGGGCTGGGAGTGACTTGTGTACATTCCTACTCTGCCTGCTGTTTTGAAATTAACAGCTTTAACTATCAGAGTATAGTTTTATCGACTAGCATAAAGTTGTAGGGAGTGAGACTCACTGACATATCTCTTGGCTCCCAAATTATCAGCCTGAGAAAAAATGATAATCGCAGGTATCATGGGGATATTTTTTTTCCATCTTTACTGTGGTCACTGTTCAAAAGCTACTAAATTTTATAAATGGCTGAATAATTCAAAGGTGCACATTGTTAAAATAATAGGAAGTTTCTTAGACGGTAGAGAATAGTGCCCAGCATAACTGCCTCACCAGTCACGGTTGCGGAAATATGTGTGTTCCCTCTTGCAGACACAAGCTGGTGAGGGCAGAGTGTATAAGTGCCTCTTTAACCATAAGTTTGAAGAATCCATGAGTGAAAAGGTAAGAGTTACTTTAAAAAACAAACCAGTATTTTCTTTGTTTCGTTAAAGCTATCTCAAATCCTTGTCAACAACATTCTTACACTCTTACCAAATATAAATGTGCTTTGTGGAGGAAAGGTACTTGGCTTTTTGTGGGGTACCAAAGCATATTTCAATAAAACCGAGGTAATGATGTTTTCATCATGATTTTCTAGACATGGGAAAACCTATTGGGAATCAATTTTGGGAGTAAAATTGGAGAATTTTATGTCAAAAACACACTGAAGCCTCTTCTACTGTTCAGGAATGTAAGCAAACCAAGCCAGTGTGATTAGCTGTTTCATCTTCCAGCAGCTATTTCATTAAGCACTCTCAGGACTGCTAGTCCTAAGACCCAGATGAATATAAGGATTTTTTTATGATTTCAAAAGTAAATAGCTTTAGTTTTCCTATCCTATCATGTATTGTCCTATGTAGAACTGAAGAAATGTTTTTTTCTTTTCACACCCTTATATCGCCTTTACTATTGAATAATTCTATTTAAAATAGAATTATTTTAAATAGACTGGAACTGCCAGTGATATCAGTTATCATTTTGATTCTGGTTCAGATATGCTTTAGGGATATTGCTGAGGAGGAAAAGAACACTTTGCCAAGGTAATATATTCAGTCTATTGATGTGTAGAGGATAGCTGCCATTGCAGCACAGCCAGCAACAGTTCACTGCAGAAGTCCAAGCTTCCTCACCCTTCACCCTGCCTCTAGCCACACTAGTTCAGCATGCTCGTGCTCAGTTTTATTCAGACTTTAAACAGCATTTTGGTAACAGCTGCAGTTATTGACATGAACTTGGCCTTGAGCCTCTTCTTGTCTCAGTGGCACATGTGACCATTTGAGCCACCTCAGTCATCCTACATCTCTGCTGCACTCTGTCCCCAGTGTCGAGAAGCACTAACAACTCGCCAAAAGCTAATTGCCCAGGATTATAAAGTCAGTTATTCACTGGCCAAATCCTGTAAGAGTGACTTGAAGAAATACCGATGCAACGTGGAAAACCTCCCTCGGTCCCGGGAGGCCAGGCTCTCCTACCTTCTAATGTGTCTGGAGTCAGCTGTGCACAGAGGTAAGTTAACTTTTTACTGTCCTTTTCCTTTTTGGATTCACATTCTCAAGCCTCTTCTTCCTATAAATGTTAGTTTTCCTAGGTTTGCTCTTTTCAATACACTTGTACCTTATAATTCAGTAGAATAACTCTATACTGTAGCCTTGTTGAAAGCCCTTCTTCTTAGCTAACCTATTTTTATTTTTCTTTAATCCTTTTTTTAAAGTAAGGTATGTTTCTCAAATCCAAATATTTTCATTTTAAAGATGCATATTTTGCAGCATTTTTAGGAGAGTTAGTGTAGATTAATGATACAGTAGGTAAGATTTGCATCAGAGAGATATAGCTTCAAATTATGGCTTTATTACCAAACTAATGACTGGGTGACCATTTACTTTTTTAGTTCCAACCCTCATTTTTTAAAAACTGTAGAACAGAACCTCCCTGGTGGTGCAGGGGTTAATGCTCAGCGCTACCAAGCTATCAGCAGACACTGCAGCATGAGTTCAAACCCAACCAGGAAGCTAGCCCACAGGGTACAGCAGACCTCTTATGTCTTGCCCACTGTCTCTGGTGAATCACTCACCCCCTGTGCCTCTGGTTTACACCCCAGTTCTTGTATGCATGAATAAAAATAAATGTTTAAAAAAATAAATCTGTGAAATCAATATACAACTACTTATATTGAGATGTTCTCATAAAGATTGAATGAGGTAAGATTTGATTTAGCGTAAGTACTGTTGTATTATAATAATGATAATATTAACAAATCAAACAATAAGAAAGAATTGGCCTCACTGAGTCAGACTGCAAGGGTACAAGAATGAAATTCCTAGCTCTTATTGAATAAGTGTAGCTAGGTTAGTGATTAAAAGGTTAAGTGAAAATTAAAAACAATTATTAAATAAAACTCAGAATTTTTTTGTGAATTGTTCTATGTTTAGATAGTGAAAGATGCTTAAACTCTGAAGTAATGTGATAGTAATCACAAATGATACATGAACTTGGATTGAACCAAAGAACATTTTGGAAAACAGTTGTAGAATTTTAGTTCTGGATGTTAGATGAAAAGCTTCTAAAATGGAAAGTAACGATTATTGTCTAAAGAATAGTTATATATAAAGCATATGTAAAAACATATGTATAACAGTATACAGAATATAACCTAATTTAGGTATTTAATAAAATGGAGTTAATATTCTTTTATTTTTTTTAAGATTTATTTTTTTTGCGCATACAGAACTGGGGTACAGGCCAGAAGTACAGGAGTGGTGAGAGGATTCACCAGAGACAGAGTGGGGAGTAGAACAGGCAGATTGATGAAGTACACTGCTGAGGGGAGCAGCGGGCGGGTCAGGAGAGGTCTGCCACACCATGTGGTCACCTCCGGGGCAGGCAGGAGTTGAACTCATGTGGAAGTGGCTTTAGCTTCTCAGTGCTGCTGCACCAGGGAGGGCCTGGAGTTAATATTTTTAAATTGCAAATTAATTGGGAAATATACACCAAACATTACATAAGCAATTGACTAAAGGATACAAATAGGTAATTTCAGAAAAATTGTACAGATGGCTCATATTAAAAAGACTGACAATATTAAGTGTTGGCAACAATGTGGAATACTTGGAGCTATTTTGCACACTAATGGAAAGTTTAAATTGTACTACTGGGAGGCATTAAAGAAAAAAGTGGTACCACTGCTTTGGAAGGCACTTTGCCAGTTTTTTTTTTTTTTTATGTCAAACATACATTATCAGATGATCCAGCCACGTAACTCCCAGATCACCAAATGATATGAAAGCATATTTCCAGTAGGCCTTGTACATGGAATGATCATAACTGTCTTATTTGTAATAGCCCCAAACTGGAAATAATCCAAAACAAATGTCTGTCAGCAGTTGTAGGGTAAACAACTATTATATATATCCATATAGTAGAATTAACATTACTCAGCATAAATAATGAATTGTTGTACATAGATTAACTTCAAAATAGTTTGAGTAAAAGAAGTCAGATGAGAAAAGAGTCCATACCAAAAGATTTTGTTTATATAAACTTTGAAAAGTACAAGTTAAAAAATTAGCCTGTAGTCACAAAAAGCAGATCAGTGGTTGATGGGAAGGGATTGATGGAATGGATAGGAAAGGAAGGTAAATGGAAGAGGCATGAGGGGACTTTTGGAATTGATGGGCATGGTTAATGCTCTGACTGTGGTGATAGTTTGTTTCACCAGTGTATACATGTCAAATTGTATGTCTTAAGTATGTGTCTTTATTAAATATCAGTTATACCTCAGGAAAGCTGTTTCTAAAAAAAAATTCTTAAGTTTTCTCTATTGGCATTTATAGCTTAAGGAAAGTGGAGGGGGCTATGATGCATATTGGAAGGGTATAATAATATCTCCCTTATCTACAAGTTCATTTTCTTGATGTTTCATTTTACCTGTAGTCAAAATACTACTATGGGCAATATATTAGGGTCAGAATATATGTGGTGAGATATTTTGAGATGAAGAGACCATCTTCACATAAACTTTATTGCAATGTATTGTTCTCCTTGTTCTCTTTTGTTATTGCTTTAATCTCTTACTCTGTCTAATTTATAAGTTAAACTACAATGGGTATGTGTGTAGGGAAAAAACAGTGTATAGGGGGTTTGGTACCATGTACAGTTTGAGGCATTCACCAGCAGTCCTGGGATGAGTCCATGGCAGGTAAGGGGTTCTACTTTCATGTTTTCTACAAGCTTGATTGTGTAAACAATAGGACAGTGCTTTGATTTCCATTTTTACCTCACTGGTTATCTTACTGACGACTTCCTTTGGCAAAATATTTGCATCATTAATTCAGTAGTGCAGTTTGTATAATGCAGCATACTGTCGGGATAAATCCTAGTCTCTGGAGTGTTAAGCTCCTTTTATACTGCTGAAGCTTTTGCTAAATCCTAAATTTTTTTAGTGTAGATACTAACACAAGTGATCTCTTATAGGAGAAAATGTGTACTTTTAACATGTGTCATATCTGGTCCTAATCTCACTACCTATCATATTATAACTTAAATCCTTACCTAGGGCGGCAAGTGAGCAGTGAATGCCAGGGGGAGATGTTAGATTACCGACGGATGTTGATGGAAGACTTTTCTTTGAGCCCTGAGATCATCCTAAGCTGTCGGGCGGAGATTGAACACCACTGCTCTGGATTACATCGGAAAGGGCGAACTCTGCATTGTCTAATGAAAGTCGTTCGGGGGGAGAAAGGGAATCTTGGCACCAACTGCCAGCAAGCGGTAAGGGAAGATTTTCTACTGCCAGATTTAAATGTGATATTTATTTCTAAGGATCCTTTTCCTGCCACAGTCCCAGCGCGCTTCACCTGGGTCATTTGTGACATCACAGTAAACATTAGGTACTACACACCAGACAGAGACTGCTGTTTCTTTAGGCAAATCACAGTAAGAATGTGGAATTTGCAGCGGAGTAGAAATTTGAGTTTATATTCAATAAAAAGGTCTATATACCTAAGGAAAGATATGCATTGTTTGCTGAGATTTTTAAAAGAAAAGATAACTTTGAGATTAGATTTTTGAAACTGAGAATCAAGATACTGTTTTGGCAAATCAGGAGTGGTCCCCCACCAAAAGAAATGTCACAATATGTTTCATTAAACAGGGTTCAAGAGAGCTGAAATAAACTGAAATCTTCTGAGAGTTTCTTTTTATTATTGAGATACAGTGTAGCATAAATTGCTTGCCTGGAGTAGCCAAAAAAGCATATCATTTTCAAAATAATACGAGTCTTTTTTTTTTTTAATAAGGAAACAACAGGTTTTTTGTTTTTTGTTTTTGTTTTATTTATGTTTGTATTTAAGAACTGGGATACAGGCCAGAGGTGCAGGGAAGGAGGGTGAGAAGATTCACCAAAGACTGAGTGGGGAGAAGGATAGGCAGATTGACTGAAATATACTGCTGAGTGGAGCAGCAGGTCAGGAGAGGTCTGCCATGCCTGTGGGTCACCTCCCTGGCTGGGGATTAAACTCGTGCTGTAGTGCCTGCTGATAACTTCATAGTGCTGCACCTTAACCCATTGTGCCACCAGGGAGGGCCCAGTCTTTTCTTAATAGATAAAGAAAACTATATACAAAATGGTGCTTTATTTTTCTATCCCCAAAAACTACAATCAGTCCTGTAAAGACAGATGGAAAAATTTAGTAGACTTTACTTGGGAAGATGTGTGTGCGTGCGTGTGTGTGTGTGTGTGTGTGCATATAAGAGCTCGGGTGTAGGCAGATGTGCCCAAGAGGGCAAAGGAGTATGGGGGATGAGAAGATTTCACCAGAAACAGAGTGGGGCACAGAACAGGTGGATCTACCGCAATCCACTGTTGTGGGGAGAAGGGGGCGAGACAGGAGAGGTCTGCTGTGCCATGTGGTCAGCTCCCCGGCTGGGGATCAAAGTCATGCTGTAGCCCCTTGTGCCACCAGGGAGGATAAGTTATACTTATTCATGGTTCATAAACAACTGAGTAGCTGAAGAGCAGGTACATAATGTGAAGTTAATGGAATAGTATAGATACCGTGCATCTGTATCATTTTCATCATACTTTTTACTGAATAAGAGTCTGAACAATTTACAGTACCAAATGCAGCAGGGGTGCCTGGTATTTTTCCTATACTTACCTTTAGGTGAAACAGAACTTTATTTCCCTACTTATCATGTAAAAATCTGAACTATACTAAAAAAATTCCATAGAATTTTGTTGTAAAGTAAAATTTCATCCTAGCTCTTGCTATTTGCTACTTAGACTGTGCCCAAAGTAGAATTATTTAGGCGTTGTATAGTGGGAAAAATATGCAAGTGAAGCTTCTTCTCTAAAATACCAAACCTAGCTAGAAGGAAGGCTTCTGTTATCTACTGTGGTTTCAGGCGGCACAATATAGTTCCTTTGGAACAGTCCTTACTGGCCACTGCCCTGGGGCACCTCTGCGGCTTGTGTACACTCAGGTCAAGACACTTAATCTTTAATGCAGAATGGAAGGTGGGGTTGGGGGAGGGAATAAAACTGTCTTCTTACCTAGGATATACTTGTATAAGGGATACAGAAAAAATTTTAAAAAAAGACACATTGGTTTGACTTTATTTTGTGGTGTCTAGTTCTAGATACAACATTTAGGACTTTTTAAAATTAGCTTGTTAAAAAAAAATGATGGCTTAGCTCGAAGATGAGCCACCTGATGAGCCACCCACCTGATCCTTTGTACCCAGAAGTATTTTCCAAATCTGGAGGTTAACTTCAAATAATGAATTTTGTGGTTTTGCCCACATTAAATTTACCAAGTGGGAAAGAAACACTTAGTTTTTTGCTTTTATGAACATAGGGTTTTTAGCTTTTGCTCATAAAAAAATTGAAGGCGTATATGACCCAAAGAGAAATTTTTCCTTAGTCTGCTACTACATTATCCATAAAAAATCAAATGGAGAAATATTTTGAAATAATTTATTTTAAGTGATTTTCTTTTTCATAGTTTTCTCTGTTGACACAATAGGTCTTGACACCTGTCTTGTTTGGCAGTTAAGTTTCCCTGACCTTTGGTACAGTGATGCTTTCCCTGATGCTTTGATACAGTGATCTCTCAACAAATAGTAAACTATGATGCATAAAGATACTTTCTTAGTGAGTACATACCCTTGCAAATGTAGGCAGTCATAAACTTATAAAATTCTCTTTATTCACAGCTGAACGGATCTGATTGCACTCTCTCCAAGGCCAAAGGTGACTGCTTAGACTCTTAGAAGCACTTCCCTAGGTTCTCCCTAAGCAGATGGGAGCTGGGATGGATGTGTGCTTAGGAAGGGCTCCAGGTTCTTGGTGTTTATTTCCCACATTACTCTCACTGGACTTCAGAGTGGCAATGTTCCTTCAGGCTATTAGCCTATAGGGCAGAGACTATAGGGCATTTATTTTCTCCTTTTACTAATGCAATCCAGTGCATTCATTGTGAATTCTCTGAAGAGACTGTGTGTCAGCCACAGCTATCTAGCTGACACTGTTCTTGCGGAGACTTCCGTATGGCCATGTGATTGTATCTTTCCTCAGACACAGATGTCAACACTTTGGTCTTTGTCAACATCATAACTGGAATTGATGGCCATTTGACAATAATCTTCCTTCCAACTAACTGTGACACTGTAGCTTCTCCCAGATTGGCACCAAGAATTGTTGTAAATAACTTATATTCCAGAATATTGGAAGCCTTTCTTTACTTCTCATCTTGGAGACTGGCCTTTTGATCTTTGTACTCTTACCAATAACGTCAGAATCTCACTTTCATGAGGGTCTCACTGGGATTATGGGTCAAGGCAAGGTTCCTGCAGAGGCTAAATCTGTGACACGGGGCACAGGAAGGGCTCTTATTCTTTCCCATGGAACAAAAGGAAACTAGCCAGTAAGGATTGTAGTTTTCAAATTTACTTTGCTATTTAAGATTCCCACCTCCAGACCCATCTGCTATCCATCTGTGGCTATAAGATTTTTTTTAACATCTGTACAATGCATTGCAGTTTACACAGCCTTCTATATATTATTTCCTAAAATCTTCTGCATTAGATAGTCCGGAATGCATAGGTTAATCAACTTGCCCATGTTCTCAAAGCTAATATCCGGCAATTCCAGAACTATTAATAGGACTCAGGTCCTCTGATTCTTAATTTAGAGCTTTTCCTCTGTGCCCAGTCACTTTCTCCTCAAAGACAGAAAAAAGTATCTGTGGCTCATCATCTCATGCTTTTACTTTATTCTGTGACCAAGGACAAAGCAAAGAAAAGTAAATATTAAGGTGTATGTTTCAATTCCAGCTGCTCGACGACAGGTATTTTTCTGTGTACTTATAATGAGCAAACTAGTTTGCCTTTTGGTAGATGGTTAAGGAAAAATGGGACATTATAGTATTCTAATTTTTCTGTAATTGATAATATATGCAAGTTAAAAGAAATCTTACAGTTGGTTTGTATAAACTAGTATACACATTCGAATGCCAGTACCTGTAACAAGATTCAAATTCTAGATCTCATGACCATATTAGGTTTCCAACCGGAAATGTCTTCCATGTGCTTTTCTCCATTCAATTCTGGCTTGACCCTGAGTGTCAAATTTAATAATTTACATGATTAACAGATTGGCAGATTTGAGGAAAGAAGCAATGTTTATATTGTAAAGACCTTTTGTTTTGTAGATGTCCAGGACTGGTTCAGACAGGTAATCAAGCAATCTGCCCAGTGTTGTAAGCAGAACAACTTGCAATGTAGGTAAAGAAAGCAGTTGGAAAGTATTTCATAAGTGCTCTTGAGCTTAACTTGGGATAGTTGCAGTGCCGTGTTAAGAGTACTTGTGATATACCAGACTGATAACGGATTGTATGAATACATGAAATTGTTCTTCCCTGATGTGTAAGTGACTTTCTTCCTGCTTAATTTTTTTTTAATCCAGCTTCAAACACTGATTCAGGAGACGGACCCTGGGGCAGATTACCGCATTGATAGAGCTTTGAATGAAGCTTGTGAATCAGTAATTCAGACAGCCTGCAAGCACATCAGATCAGGAGACCCAATGTAGGTTCTAAATTGTGGCTTTTACCATATTGTATTTATCCATATTGTATTGTATTATGTGACAGTGCAGCAAGGAAACTTGCCCTCCCATGAATTTTGTGTTATTGAAATCTTAACTGCAGTTTTGTTAAGGAGGAACATACCAACTTTTGTTAAACCTGGTCTTGGAATTAAAACTTTGTGTACTTCATCCATAATGTGGAGCCTCTTAGACTCAGCATTATTTATTGACAGTGACTGAGCACATACAAGCCTATTCATTAGGCCACCGAATAATTCCAAATTAAACTCAGAATAATTCTCAGGATACAGTGACACACATTTGACTGTATTTGTCATCCTATTTGAATTTTAACTCATTGTATGCATTGGCTTCTTGATAATCATTAGGAAGTAATTATACTTGAAATAGCAAAATCTTGGTGTAGAGGGTTCTCATAGACAAAAGGAACTCTAGGAAAGCTGTAAAAATGCTATAATATAGCATTTGGTTCTCATGCATTCCTTTTTATTCCATGTGATTATACAAGTAGTTCTTAAAACCAGGTTGCGGGTTAAGAACAGATTTCCCCAGTCTGCAAAAGTCCCTATAGCCTGCAGCTGTAGTGCCCTTGTTTTACAAGACCCGTCCGTCTTGTATAAGAAAACAAATGCAGTCCATGGTTTTCATTTTCGGCTATGCGTACACTCCTATTGTTTATGCTATAGTAGGAGAATGAAAAATGTATTCTTTCTTAAAGCTTTTTGGTGGTGTGTAGGAGACACACACACACTTGAAAGTAATTAAGAGTATTTACTAACATAAAAATAGCTGCCTCAGCCACTAAGGGGCAAGGGTGAGGGAGGAAGGAGGGAACTTCCTGCTACAGATTAAAATAGATTTAAGATTCTGTCGGTTAAATCCAGTGTGTGGGCCTTTTCAGGGCCCTTATTTGAACAGACATGTACAAAGATGCATGATGATTTAAAAACTGGCAGTATATTACATCATATTGAGAATTTTTAAAAATTAATTTCAGTGGATAACAGTAATATGTTGTCACACTATAGAGAAATATGCTGAAGTATTTACCAGCAAAATGATGTGGGATCTGGAATTTGCTGCACAGTATCAGCAGAGTGTAGAGTTAGAACAAACTTGACAGTAACTTCATAAAACTATGAGGAAAGGTGAATATTGTATAATTCTTTACTTTTGTGAGTATTGGAAATTTTTCATAATAAGTAGTTAAACCCAAACCAGCTGCACATAGAACTGGTGCAAGCTGAGTCCTAAAGCGATAGAAGGATTAATCGTTGCTGAGTTAATTTGAGTGATTCTCAGAAAAATAAAAGCCTAATTACTCTAGGAAAATGGCTGAGTGGCTTTGTCTAAGTCCAGGAAATACTGACATGAGAATGCTGAGTCTGTTGTCAGAACTCTGCTTTCTGGCATTCTAATTTCACTGCTTTCCTCCAGGATCCTCTCATGCCTGATGGAACATTTATACACAGAGAAGATGGTGGAAGATTGTGAACACCGTCTCTTAGAGCTACAGTATTTCATCTCCCGAGACTGGAAGTGAGTATTTTTAACCCAGAATAAGTATAAACCTCAGCCTGTTCTGTACTCAGTAGCCCTGTTACATTTTGATCAATCAGTAGTTGTTGTTTCTGTTAAGTTCTGGGGTAGCTGACATCCTCGAGGTGCCTTTCTTAACTTCATAACAGTCCCTAAAGTCAGAGGCAGCCCCTAAAGGTCCGTCCCCGAGTGTCCCAGTTCACTTTAGAAGCCTGATTCAGATGTTCCCGATCCCATTAGCCTCTCTATTAGAACTGAGGCGCCTGTGGGGCAGCAAAAGCCCCACTTCAGACACGCCTCTAAAAAGGTGACAGTGCAGTTTGGTTTTTACTGATTTGCACATGGTGTGGGAATTTGCTTTTGTTTTTTTTTTTAATTATTCAAAGTTACTGAATTTATTCCATCTGAAGAGACTTTGTCAGTGACAACTTGATTCCCTCATTCTCTTCTCTTACTGTATTGCCCTCCAAGGGAAGACAGAATCCTGGGAGGAAGAGCTGTAGACAGAATCACTGTAACCAGTTGCTGGAGACCCCTCCTCCTCTTTGTCTTGTTTTCCCTTCCCACCTCCAAAACAGCTGGTACTGGACTAGTCTCCTCTTCCTGAGTCCAAGGTTCAGCTTCCTGAACCTTTTCTGGTAATTAATAGGGTTTTGTTTTTTTTTTTAACCCTCCTACTTTACTAGAAAGAGATAACTTGAAATTTTGATCTGTTTTTATTTCTGTTCCTTCAAATTAGCTACGGGCAGCTGAGTAGGACTTTCTCAGTGCTTACTCAGGCCTTCTAAATTGAAATCACAGTTAACTGAACTTAGTACCTTAGTCAAAATCATGGCTTTTCCTCTAATATTAATCCATCACCAAAAAATGCATCACAGTGTTACAGGGCACTCATTAAATGTTAGCCTTTTTTCTCCCACTGAATAGCTCTCCCTCAGAGATGACCATATAGGACAGCATTAAGCATCCATGGGCCTTATTTGGACAGTCAACAGTCCTACTGCCTAATCCATTGTCATCTTTTCTTTACCTTTAATTGGTAGGCATATTCAAGTAAACTAAAAGAATAGCTACGTTACCTTGTGTGAGAAAAAGAAGAAAAACAATTTTACCAGAAAGTTGAGTAGGAAGATTTTGTTTTTCTTGCCATTTCCTGACCTTACTGAATCTAGTATATCAAGTAGAATTGAATTTCACTCATACTTAAGAAAAAAAATAATGCGTGTACAGTTTCAAATTGCCTGGTGATGGGTACAGCCCTGTTTTTTCTCTTTGCACCCGATGTCAGTGCTGACTGTGTCCTGTCATGTTCGTGTGCCTTGCATCACCAGAACAATTGCTTTGAGCTAGAGCTTAGATTTTTCTCTATTAGGGTTCACTTCTGTGTATTCACAAAGAGCAAAATTCAGGAATGTATTTTTGTTTACCTGCTGTTTCTATTACCCTTGAGGTGACTATCAACAAGTACACGAGCACCCTTAAAAGCCCTTAGCGTGCTGTAGAAGGAAAAGTGCATAGTAATCGTGGTCCTTTGACTTGTAGGTTGGACCCCGTCTTATACCGCAAGTGCCAAGGAGACGCGTCTCGTCTTTGCCACACCCATGGTTGGAATGAGACCAGTGAACTAATGCCTCCGGGAGCCGTGTTCTCTTGCTTATACAGACACGCCTACCGCACCGAGGAGCAGGGCAGGAGGGTGAGATTCAGTCACTGGCTTCATTTCTCCTTACCATCATTTGTTTTATAAATTAGTTTGCTGTATATTGTTCTGATAACTTGTTTAATATATCCAGCAGGGAGGGGCCTGCTGTACTGCTTACATATCTTTACTCAGTGAGTGTCCATATTGTGGCTCTGTCAGCTCTCTACATCTGATTTTGTGTCTTTGACAAAGTTGTTTGGGGGCATTTCCAGCTTTTTTCCCCTTTAAATTACTGAAATCTGTATGACCAATAGACAGTTAAACTCTGCTACCCAAATTTGATTTAGCCTTAAGGATCCATTAGAAGCTCTGAGCTAGAATACAGTTGCACTTCAGGCTTCTTCCCTTGGCAGCTGGACATAGCGACTTGTGGGTAAGGCCTCTCCTGCAGGACTCTAGTGGGAGCAGAAGCCTCTACTGGGTATGTGTCTACCATGATTTTGGCTTCTTGCTGGAATATTTGTGTGTGTTTAGCTCTCAGGCAATGTTTGATGTCTCTGGTGCCAAACAGAAATGCAGCTGGCTCCCAAGGGAGACTTTTTTTTTTTAGATTTATTTATTTATGCTTGCAGAACTGGGGTACAGGCCAGAGGTGTGATGGGTGAGAGGATTCACCAGAGACAGAGTGGGGAGCAGAACAGACAGTTTGACAAAGTACACTGCTGAGGGGAGCAGCAGGCAGGTCAGGAGAGGTCTGCCGCACCAAGTGGGTCACCTCCCTGGCGGGGGATCAAACTTGTGCTGCTATGGCTTCAGAGAGTTTCATAATCCTGTGTTTTAACCCGTTGCACCACCAGGGAGAGCAAGGGAGGCTTTTGTAAGCCTAGATTTCATTCCTGTAGTTATGGAAAAGAGAGATGGCGCATGGATGTTTATAAAGACCCCTCTAAACCTAATGCAAAAGTTTCACTTTGTAGGTTTCAGAATGAGAAGACCTCAATAGAAACGATATATTACATAGAAACTAATATTTACATTAGTTACTTCAGTCTTAACCTGGATTTCATACTAGTGGGTAAGAAAATACAGAAATTTGTTGGTTTTTTCTTCAAATAATGCATTTCTCCTAGCCACAAGAGCTCTTAAATACTAGTGTCTTGCTATTCACTTTACTTTTAGGAGGTTCCCTCTCTTGTAAATAAAGGCTTGAAATTTAATATGCTGGCTTTGGAAATATCTATATGTTACATATATAATAATAAATATATATATTTTATTAATGAGGTGAGACTCACGTCAACATAAATTGACTGTTTTAAAGTGAGAAGTCTAGTACATTCATCAAGTTATGCAACAACCACCTGTATGTACTTTATAAATATTTCCACTTCTCCATAAAGTCACCCTTTCTTTTTTTCTTTTGTTTTTTAAAGATTTACTTATTTACGCATATAGAACTGGGGTACAGGCCAGAGGTGTGGGGAATAAGAGGATTCCCCTGAGACAGAGTGGTATATGCACTGAAATACACTGCTGAGGGGGTCAGGAGAGGTTGCTGCACCATGTGGGTCGTTTCCTGGCCCGGCTTTGAACTCGAGCTGCAGTGGCTGTGGTGGCTTCATAGTGCTGTGCTTGGACCCGTTGTGCCACCAGGGAGGGCCTGAAAAAACTCTTTTTCATTAGGCAATTTCTTCCCACCTCTGGTGTTTTGGCTTTTTTAGGAAGTGTACCTGTCAGTGACAGCTTTCTCACAGCTTTTCTTAAAGTATTTTCTTCTGTTTTTTACCTTTTGCTAATTCCCTTTATAAGTTATCTAGAAGAGTCTGGTTCTTATCTGTAGTAACTGTTGCTGCCACTATTACGTGCTTGCTCTGAATTTAGGTAAATTTGAACTCAGTTCTCCTGACCCAAGTGTGTATTCTCTCCTAACTAGATCCAACATTCTATTCTACATCCACTCATTAGTGTAAATTAATTTTGCTAAATTAAAAACTGTAACCTAGTCAGAATGAATCCATTTGTCTTTTTATCAGGATATTCTCAGAAAGGAACATTGTTTCATGTACTATGCTTAAAAATGCTGAATATGTAAGCTCCTAGAAGTAGAGGCTTTTAGAAGCTCCTTAGAATCTCTCGTTTTTAATTCTGGAAGAAATTCCAAATGTGTGTTTTGTTTTATAAATAACAAAGTTATTTGTTTCCTGACAACAGATTTGCTTTATCTTCTTGTTTTAGTTTAGTTCTTGTATCTTTAAAGTGTTTTGCTTGTGTTTTGTTGTTGTTTTTTTTCTTTCTCCTTTTAGCTCTCAAGGGAGTGCCGAGCTGAAGTCCAAAGGATCCTTCACCAACGTGCCATGGATGTTAAGCTGGACCCAGCCCTCCAGAACAAGTGCTTGATTGATCTGGGAAAATGGTGCAGTGAAAAGACAGAGACTGGGCAGGTGGGTGACCTAGCCATCTATTTATCTTTTTTTTAAGATTTATTTCTTCATGTATATAAGAGCCAGGGTGCAGTCCAGAGATGCAAGAGGTGAAAGAATCCATTAGACACAGAGTGGGGAGCAAAACAGGCCGATCTACTGAAATATACTGCTGAGGGGAGCAGCAGGCAAGACGGGAAAGGTCAGCCGCATTGTGTGGGTCAGCTCCCTGGCCAAGGATCGAACTCGTGACATGCTGTAGTGTCCAGGGACAGCTTCATAGTGCTGTGTCCAAATCCCTGGGCCACCAGGGAGGCCTAGCAGCCTATTTATCTTACAGGGACAGTGTTTATAGAGAGTGTACACATAAAATTCATCCCTATGTACTTCTCATTTATGATTTGTTCTATTATTTAACATTCTCTCTGTAAGAAATTCTTGGGAATTTTTTTCTTTGTGTATTAGGAATAAATGTGCTTTTTCCTAAGCCATTTGATATTCTGTTATGGTTATGTATTTTGTAAGTGATTATTTTCCTCTTGGTATCGTCTCTTTAAAAGCCAAGGCATGACCTGCCTTTCACAGGTGTGTGAGGTTGTGTGGTGGGCATTTGTGGCCCCACCCCACTTTAACATATTTTCCTCTTTTTTATTTACTTTTTTTTTTAAAGGATTTATTCATTTATTCATACAGAACTGGGGTACAGGCCAGACGCTCAGGGGCAGTGAGAGGCTTCACCAGAGACAGAGTGGGGAACAGAAAAGGCAGATTGACAAAGTACACTGCTGAGGGGAACAGCGGGCGGGTCAGGAGAGGTCTGCCACGCCATGTGGTCACCTCCGGGGCAGGCGGGAATCAAACTCATGCGGAAGTGGCGTTAGCGTCTCAGTGCTGTGCTTTAACCTGCTGCACCACCATGGAGGGCCTTTTTTATTTACTTTAATATTATCTTGCCTCTTTTTTTCTTTTCTCAATTTTGTAAACATTAAGTCCTTTTGTGGGAAAGCAGTTTATTATTTATATATATTATAAATATGTAATACATATGTAAATACTTATATGCATGAATGCATGTCCTCTAACAGTTCTTCAGGCTACATGGGGATAGAATTATTTTTCCCACCCAGTAATTGACAAAAATGAGGCATGGGTTCCATTCTACTGTCTGCAGAGAAGGTAACAGCCCCCCCAAAGTAACATGTGCTGTGAATGGATCCACAGGATTTTGTGCCCAGTTCATGACTGCATTGTGACTTCAGTAGGATGGTATTACATCGTACATCTCAAAGCAGGAAAAACAGGCATCAAGTGACAGCCACTTATTTAAAGCCCCTTTGACCCTAGAACTAGAAGTGAACTTACTTCCAGGTTGCACAGCACTCCCTGGTATTAAAATTTTAAAAAGTCACATATACAGGAATTAGACATTTTTAAGATCCAATGTGTCGTTCTCCTTCTTGGGCCTACTATAATTAGAGTTTATTGTTTGAAAATGCCAGATCTACCTCTCTGCTTCTGTCTAATAAAGCAAGGATCATGGTGATACAGAATCCCAGGAAATAGTTTACTTCCATGCACCCTTCCTGTCCCCTCTCCCACATAAGTGACATTGAGAAAGCAGCACTATCTGTGAACCCATCACTGTGAAGCTAAACCATAGGGGGAATTCTACATATGGGATTAAGCCGAGTAGCTTATTCTCAAAAGTTTCATACATTTTCCTTAAGGTTTCCTTCCCCTCCCAAAGTTCTGATTATTTATGACTCCCACTTTTCTTCTCCTTTCCCATTCTAATCCTATAGCAGAGCAATTCTTGTAGAATAGTAAGGTAAGCTGGGTCCTTTAGCAGGGCATTTTGGCTAAGAATTAGCTGTTGAGGTACTTGGGAAAGTGAACTGAACTGATGTTATGCTTTGCCCGTGAAGTCATAAGATATTCCATTGTTGTCCACTGGTTTTTTATTCCAGTGATTTTTATCAAAATACATATTTAAAATGGGAGGCAAAGATTATCAAAGCATAGGTAAAAATGAAATGACCATATGTTGATGGAATGGAATGAAGTCCTGAAAAATGTGTCTAGACTCTGTGGACACCTGAGTATTGGTACATGTTGGATTTGACAGTTTGGCCACCTGAGGTTTTGTATGACTGTTGTGCCATCCTGCCCCTCATTGACACCCTGTTACAGCAAGTGACATCTTTTCAGTAGTCTCAGCAAAGCTTGGGTCTCTGTGAAGTACATTAGTTCTGAAAAGAAAAAGAGGACCACTGAAAAGGAAGTGGCCACGCATCTCACTTCCCTTGTATGTATGTGAGTGGCAGAGGCCCCAAATTGCCTTTTTCTTTGCAGGAACTTGAGTGCCTGCAGGACCATCTGGATGACTTGGCCGTGGAGTGCAGAGATATCGTCGGCAACCTCACCGAGCTAGAATCCGAGGTGAGCTGTCTGCAGCGCTGAGGAGGAGCGCCCTGTCAGCAGCCTTTCCTGTTTTCTTAATTCTACTGTTCCTAGACTTTGAGTCTGCACTGTTCTTTGGGAAACAAAGGAACAGGGTCAGTTTCTTTTCATTTGCTTCGTAAAGAAGCATAGTGTGTGGACTCCGCTCTCGTTTGTCCCATGTGGATTCCTCCAGCATCACCACGATGAGGAAAGTGGCTCAGCAGCTGGAAGCTAGGCTCCGGCCACCGGAGCGCTTCCCAGGCAGCTGAAGATTTGACACAGCTCTGTTTGCAGAGTGCCCAGCATGGTACCGCTGACAGGGTGTCTGCAAGCATGAATCCCTTCAGACCCCAGGAAATCTGCCCCTTTCTATAGTAAACTGATTCTTTAGTAGGTTTTCTGAACCACTTTTTGTGAATCACTGAATAACTGGAGAACTAAGTTAAAATCCTATCCTTATTACACATGTCATAAGACATAAACTTTTCATTTTGTCAGACCTTAACCTCTAACTCTCTGAATTTTCATAAATTCCTTTTTCACAATGTAATTGACAGTAGCATTCAATAAAAAATGTAGTGTGGAAGATTAAAAAAAAAAAAACAAAACATCTTGTGTTGCTTCCTGAACCTATCCCTTTCCTTCATCTCTCCAAAGAAACATTCTGTACTTTTAGCTCTTCGCCTCCTTCTTAAGCTCAGAAATATGACAGTGGTTAGACATACATTGTTTCTTCCTCTTAAAGAAACAATAAGAGCTATAGTTAGGATGTCTCCATCATTTTCAAGAGTAGTCCAAACATTCCTGCTCTCTTACTGTTAGCTCTTTTAATTCAGCCATTTGGTAATATTTGGGTAATAGTTATGTGCTTAATAAAATAACCTGGGACTCCAGTCAAACCTGGATGTTTTAATCCCTGTTTCATCCTGAAATCCACTAAATTATAAAAAATGGGATTTAAAAAATATAAATCCCATAAGCAGTGCTGACATACATCTAAGAAGGTTTGAACATAGTCCCTTAAATTACGTGCAGTGTTGTAAACAAATGTTACCCCAGTGAAGAAAAAGACAAATAAAATAAAATTGGGAGGCATAAATACAGGTATGTTATTTAGGAAAATAGATTATTACTGAGATCTGGAGGCAAAAATTAGGAATTACTGTGTTTTCAAATGTTGTCTTCTTTCATCTCGTGTCTTCTGCTTTCCTTGTCGTGTGAGCTCTTCACTCCATGTGACTCTTTAAAGGAAGGCCTTGTTTTAGCAGCTAGTGTGGGTGAGCAGGGGTTGCTCTGTCCCTCAGAGGTCTTTAGTGTGTGTTCCCCAAAGGCAGTGGTTTGTCATCTGGTTTGAGGGCAATCTGGCTTAGAACTTAAAAACTAAAGACAGATGTCATTTACCTCTGTTTTCATTTTGAACTGGTTAGCATTTTGGAAACATTCCAAAGGCTTTACATACTCTGATATTTTTGTTAAATGTTCTTTCCTCCCCACCACCTTTATTCTGCCCTCTGTTTTATTCAAGTACAAGAATCTAAAAGTTACCCTTTAAAATGTAGTGGGGCAGCATTTCTGTCTTCACTGGGCTGTGGAACTTAAACACTGGAATTATTTCCAGTGTACACGTTAGATCACTTGCCCATTAGAAGCTACTGATTTGGAAAAAACAGTTCCTCACTCAACACCTAGCCCTTTCTAGAGCAGATTTGTTATTGTGTTTCATCTTTTGCAGGATATTCAAATCGAAGCCTTGCTGATGAGAGCCTGTGAGCCCATAATTCAAAACTTTTGCCACGTAAGTGATGTGTAGAGCAACAGAATTGTTGTGTTATTTTGCTCCTTTTTTCACTTACTGAGTGACTCAATTGTGGGGTGAAACCCCGAGGAAAGCCCACTGTAGTGGGCGCCCGATGAGGACAGCACTGAGGGTTCCCACAGCTCCTGTTCTTATGGAAGCCTGTGCAGGGCAACTGGGCTTTGTGAATTTTATTCCCCAAATGTTTATCCCTGTAGCTGTTCAGGCCTCTTTGGATATAATTTCTGATGTATCTTGGGAAAAGCTCTCGAACTAGTTTGGCTTGCACTTTCTCATGGACCAGAGTATAGGATTTGCTCATTCCTTGTCACTAATGGAGTGCGAATGTGCACTGCCTTCCACAGGATGTGGCCGATAACCAGATAGACTCTGGGGACCTGATGGAGTGTCTGATACAGAACAAACACCAGAAGGACATGAATGAGAAATGCGCCATCGGAGTCACTCACTTCCAGTTGGTCAGTGCCTGGCTCTTGATTCCCCGTTTGGTTGCTTGGATAGTTACAGAATCCCTTCTTTAAGAACATCAGAGTCCCTCTTCTGTGACCAATTGGTGTTTCCAAATACAGAGCTGATTTCACCATGCTCTCCACCGGTGTGGTTTTTATCCTCCAGTGCTGGGTGCTTTGTTCAGCTCCTGGAAATGCAGTACCCTTTGGACGTAGGTAGCCTTTGAAGAGAAGTAGCAGGCATTTGCTGCCTCAGTCACATGACTTGCCTCCATAGGTGTTTCGTGCTTCCCTGGAACAGGTAGCATCAGTGGGATGTGCTGTTTCGTGTCCCTATTGAGTGCAGCAACCCAAGTGTGTGTCAGTACTCTGAAGTCATATAGCCCAGGTTCCAGTTTTTGAATAAGAAGTTTAAACCCTCCTTTTAGAGCGTTACCACCTTCCTAAAGGAAGTGTTTCTGGTAAAATGAACACTTACTTGCTGGGAGGGTGACCTCCAGCCTTTTTTTTTTTTTTTTTTAAACTTATTTATACAAGAATTGAGGTACAGACTAGAGGTGTGGGGGTGAGAGGACTCATCAGGAACAGAGTAGGGAACAGAACAGGCAGACTGACTGAAACACACTGCTGAGGGGAGCAGTGGGCTGATCAGGAGATGGCTGCCAATGCCATGTGGTTTACCTCCCCGGCTGGGGATCAAACTCGAGCTTTAGTGACTGCAGACTGCTTCACACTGCTGTCATTTTACCTCGTTGCGCCAACAGGGAGGGCCCATGACCTACAGTCATTTTATAATGGCTCTTTCTTGGGCATGTAGCCAGCCCATCTGACTTCCTTCACACATGGTTCTGGAGAACAGGCACTGGGAGACACTAGAGAGAAAGGTAGACACACTCTGTGTTCTAGGAAGAGATAGGTGAAAAGCACATTTACAAATAAACACGGCTTAACGCTGGGCCTGTGAAGAGAAGTAAAGCAGTGTAAGAATTGGAGGGTGAATAGAAAAGTCAACGATGTGCCAGAGCAAACCCATGCAAAGATCTGGGAGAGGAAACATAAACAGAGGGAACCACATGTGTGATTGGAATGGTGGGGAGACCGGTGCTGGGCTAACAGGGAGGTCGGCAGATGACAGTCAGCCAGGCGGAGCGAGGATGAGCCTTGCAGCGCCTGGAGAGCAGGTTTCTGCGACCCACAGGGTCACTGGAACTTGCCACAGAGCTTCTGATTTTCTTTTTCATCCTCTTTTTCAGGTACAAATGAAGGATTTTCGGTTCTCCTACAAATTTAAAATGGCCTGCAAGGAGGATGTGCTGAAACTTTGCCCCAATATAAAAAAGAAGTATGTAGCTTTGAATTGATTCATTCTGCTTCCCTAAAGTCCGTCTTTGATACACAATAAGCAGGTGCCAGGCGGCCTCCTGCTGTGTGCAGAGCCCAGAGGCCTCTGTACATGCCCTTAGGGGGTAGTCAAGACTCTGGACAGGTCATTTTATAGCTGCCCCAGAGATGCCACCATGGAGGTGCTTCTGATTGGAAAAATCTTTTGGCTAAAACAGCGATTTTAATTTTTCCAGGTTCAGGTTATCTGACTGATGAAGCAGAGATTATTTATTTAGAGAAACAGCCAGCAGTGTGAATAAAAGGTTCATTGACTTGTTCCCAGCATCTCTCCATTATGTCATTACTTTAGGGAGCAGCAGAGGCTTTACTGAGCTAGAGATCTAGTGAGAAACAAAAACTTTATTCATTTAAGAATGATCTCTTAATGAGTAGATGATGCGCTTTTAGTATGGCTGCTCTTTGCAAAGGCAGTTATAAGAACCTTTTCCTCGTCTGCACCTCATTCCCACTTTGCACAGGTTTCTGTTTCTTTCAGGGATGAGTTTCAATGTACATCAGGATACAGTAAGAGTAAAGAGCAGTATTCTTCTCTTGTCACATGTTTTTAACAAAATAACAGAAGTGTCCAGCTGTCCTTGCTCCCCTGCCCTCTGTGGCCCCTCCACCAGCCAGGAAGGTAATCAGCACTCAGGCTGCGGCCTGTCTTCTGTGCCATACTGTCAAAATGCTACTTTTAGCCCTAAATTCACAATGAGACTTTCAGGAAAGGCATTTCAGAGCCTGGTACAGAAGGTCACGAGTGTTCAAGAGATGCTGGGCTCCTGACCAGCCAGGCTCCGGCTGCCTGCCCACGCGTGGCTCCAGCTTGTCTCAGCCTCCTCTGTCCTTGGCAGGGTGGACGTGGTGATCTGCCTGAGCACCACTGTGCGCAATGACACTCTGCAGGAAGCCAAGGAACACCGGGTTTCCCTGAAGTGCCGAAAGCAGCTGCGGGTGGAGGAGCTGGAAATGGTAATGCCCACTGCACAGGCTTGGCATCAGAAGCTGCAGACGCAGGGCTTGGAAAGGCTGGGTGAGGGGCGAGGGCAAGTGGGCATTTTAGACACCGATATGTGGATTAGACTAAGAGCTGTGGGACCATGGGAAAGTTAACTTCTAGCTTTTTAAAAAAAAATACTGCCTTACCATACACAAACGGAAATCTACCTATAAGACCATCCGTAGCCTGTCATGGGATCCTAAAATCAGTAATGTCCTCGGGGACCAAGGGTCTCTGCCTCTCCAGTCTGCTGTCCTCACAGCAGCCTCATTGTGAGACTGGATTCCCTCCTGGCTGCAGGATGGCTGCCTGCTTGGCTGGGCTGCCTGCTCCAGGAGGCATGTGGAAACAAGAGCAGCCACCTCCAGCTTGCAGGAAAGAGCCTTCCCTTTGTTTGATGGTGTCAGGTTGGGATCTTGTCCTCTCCTCACCATCGGTTTCCAGGGGGATGCCAGGTCCTGATGTGCTTGTGGTCGCCAGCGTGGATTGAATATTGAGAAGTTAGCTGTAATACCTTGCTTTACTCCTGAGGTTAAGCCCAAACCATACTAAGAAGACTGCTAAAAAATATTTTTATATGTTTCATATTTTGAATCATACTTCCCCTCTGTCTCAGTGAAATCTTGCAATGGACACCATTACAGCTAATATCCTAAAAGCTACATGACCAGATTTCCACATCGTGCCACTGACTCTGAAAATTAAGTTGAAGCAGAGCTGGCCTAAATGCCCTGTTACAATACAGAATGTGGGCCCCTAGCTTTGAACCTAGCTCCTGCAATATAATAATAATGGTGAGAGTTGAATTCTGTGTTTATATTATGGTTTTGACTTTATAAAGTGGTTTCCTATCCTATCATCGCACAGCAGGCCATGAAGGGGCCGGGGACCGGAGCCTGCCTCTTTTCAGAGAGTCTGAGACCACATTGCTAGTTAGTGGCAGAAACTAAAGCCTAGTCACTCCTCTCACGGGGTACACACTGCTGCCACTCTGCCAGGTGGAAGTTGTGGTTGTTAGACGGAATCCAGTCAGCAAGTAGGTACAGAGAGCATTTGACAGCACTAGTTTGAATTAAGCTCCTTTCTCCATGCTGGCCCCTCTTCTGCAGACAGAGGATATCCGTCTAGAACCAGATCTGTATGAAGCCTGCAAGAGTGACATCAAGAACTACTGCTCCAGTGTGCAGTATGGCAATGCTCAGGTAAACTGTTACTTTTATTAGCATTTATTAGCATTTTAATAATTAAATTGCTGGCAGGATAGGCCCCTCCGGCCACCCCGCCTTAAGCTACACCAGACTGCTTTTCCCAGGCAAAGTTCCTTGCCTGTATTTTTCTTCATTGCCTATTCATCCTCTTCTGCTACAGGTCACCGTGTCCTTCCCCACCTTGTGTGCCTGATATGCTCCTAGTGACCCATCAGGTGCCTCCTCCTCTCTTCCACCTGCCTAGTACCCTGCACCTCCACACTTGTGTTCCCAGCACACACAAGTTCTTAACTGGAGACCCATGAGGATCACCTTCAGAACTGATTTTTTAAGATCAGGAGCCTGCCCAGAATCCTCAGGAATGAAGTGCTAGGGTTTCGTTTTTGTTTTTATTTTTAACGTTTTAAAAGGAGAGGTTTGTTAGGAAAAGGAGAAAGAAAAAGAGGCACCTGCATAGTCAGGCAGGCAGACAGGAGAGCTGCCGATTTTATTTTTAATGTTCTCCCAGACGCAGCTTCCGCTTCAGTTGAGGGCATTGGTGCCTTAGCCTTTGAGAGAGTGGCTTCATTGTCTACTTTGGTCTCCCATTGCTGATGCAGTCTGATGTCAGTCTGACGCTCATCTGTGCAGTTATTCTGAGTTTTCTTTTAATCTTTTATGATCTGCAATTTCACTGTGATGTAGTGATAATGAAGTGTGAATTTTTTTCTTTTTTTACCCTGGTTGACTCAGTCTCAGAATTCATGTCTTTGTTCAGTTCTAGGAAATTCTTTTGTTTTGTTTTCCTTCTAGCTTCATTGACTTGCCAACTGTTTGCACAGTTATTATTGTTTGGGGGTTACAGCTTTACTCTCATAGGCACACCCAGCGTTCACCCTCCAACACCCCAGTGCTGAACCCCTGCCAACTTCCCACCCCTCTCCTCTTCTCTCCTCTCTCCTCCCCTTTTCCTCAGGTAACCATTATATGTTCTCATAGAGTAGAGTCATTTTTGTTGTTTTGCCAGTTTGTTTTCTTTGGTTATCTGTGTTCCACAAATGAGTGAAACCATCAGTAACGGTCTGTCACTGTCTGACTGACTTCACTAGCATCATCACCTTTTAAGATACATCCACTTATCCCGAAAGTCACTTTTTTCCTCTTTTTCAATAGCCGAGTGATAGTTCATCAAGTATAAATTCCACAGTTGCTTTATCCTGTCGTCTGTCAGCACTGCTATGGACAGAGGCATGCAGAAGCCATTTCATATTAGTGTTTTCCTGTTCTTTGGGTGGGTATCTAGATTTTACTGGCTCATATGGTATGTCCATTTTCACTCTTTTTTTTTTAAGATTTTTAAAAAATAATATAATAGTTTATTTTTACTTCATTTTGTGCATTTTTCCATCTCAGTTGTAATCCCCTTGGGCTTCCATCACCAAATCACTCATGTGCCATATCCATAGTTTTTAAAGATTTATTTATTCATACGTACAGAACTGGGATACAAACCAGAGGTGCAGGGGCGGTGAGAGCATTCACCTTTTTGATATAGGCCATTCTAACAGGGATGTGGCCATATTTCATTCTGGTTTTGATCAGCATTTCCCTTAGAATAAGTGATATTAGACCTTTTATAATGTACCTGTGGACCATCTGAATTTCTTCTTTGAAGAAGTGTCTGTTGAGGTCTCTGGCCCATATATTTTTTTATATATTTTTGAAACTAAATGCTTGTCAGGTGTGTGATATGCAAATATCTTCTCCCAGTCTTTATGTTCCCTTTTTGTTTTCTAGAAAATTGTTTCTTTTTTTTTTTTTTTTTACTATTATACATACAGAACAGGGTACAGGCCAGAGATGCAGGGATGGTGAGAGGATACACCAAAGACAGAGTGGGGAGCAGAACAGGCAGATCAATGAAGCACACTGCTGAGGGGAGCAGCGGGTGGGTCAGGAGCCGTCTGCCATGCCATGTGGGTCACCTCTGGGGTGAGGACTGAACTTATGCTGAAGTAGCTTTAGCTTCTTAGTGCTGCGTCACCAGGGAGGGCCCCATTTCTAAGGTGTTTAGTTAACTGATTTCATAATTACCTTTTCTTGATTTTTGTTTACTACTTCTCTCTATATTCTAAGAATAGTAAACCTATTTTTTGGCATGCCCTATTACCCTTTGCCCTCAGTTTGGAGTCTTGATTCCTTTGTTACAATATTAGGTTTTCTCAGCTTTTTGCTGGTTCTTGGTTGTAAAAATCTTGAGGATTTTTTTTTTTTTTGAAAATGTGAACTTTTTACATTTTATTTATAGTTTCTTGGATAACTGAAACCAAATAAGAACATTGTGACCTGTAAACTTAGAAAACTTTTCTAAAGAATGAGTTGGTAGGACTAAAGCAAAATCATAGTATCTCTTGTTTAATTAAATTAGGTAAAGTTATGTGCAACTACCTCTAAATTTTGTGTTTTTGTATGAGGTTTTCATGGAAGTCTCAGAACTTCATGCTTGCCTCAACAGCTTCCCTTCTGCTTTCCTTCATCTCTTCTCATAACATTAAATGTGCATTATAGGGAAGCAGGATATCCTAATTCACTATCTTAAAATCCACCTACACCCCTTTTTGCTTTTATGCTACTTGTTTATAGGTTTATGCCCTGTGAGATGGTATATTCATCAGGGTAGGAACTGGGTCTTATTCATACCTTGAATCTAATAGTGTTTTCTCCTATAAGTGGGATGTTAAACTGAAGGTTCCAGACTCACATCTACCATCTAGCCAGGGTCCATGCTCCAGGGAAATACAGAAAACTTCATATATGCTCCACAAGGAATCTTGACAAGGAACAGCTCTAGAGACAGAAGAAAGCAGGAAGCCTGAATGAGTTTCCTTTGCTTTAAATTCCAGTACAGCCTATTCATTCATAATTTTTATACATCAGATTGTTGGAAAAGTCATGACGTACTTTTTCCTATGTCTTTCTTTTTTTTTTTTTTTAAGATTTACTTTTTATTTATGCTTATAGAACTGGGGTACAGACAGGCCAGAGGTGTGGGGGGTAAGGGGATTCACCAGAAACAGAGTAGGTACAGAGCAGGCAGATGTGCTGAAACACATTGCCGAGGGGAGCAGGAGGTGGGTCAGTAGAGGTCTGCTGCACCATGTGGGTCAGCTCCCTGGGTGGGGATAGAACTCGTGCTGCAGTTGCTTCTGAGCACATCATAGTGCAGAGCTTTAACCCATTGTGCCACCAGGGACAGCCCTCCAATGTTTTTCAAGCAAAAATGCATCAGGACTTTTCTGACAACCCAGTAGACCTAGTAGATGGCTACTCTCCTGGAATTAGAAATGGGTACAAAAGTATAGGGGATATACAAACTACAGGGGTTATTAATCCCAACATAACATTTAACTGAAATATAATTCTCATGCCCTAGATTATTGAATGTCTGAAAGAAAACAAGAAGCAGCTGAGTACCCGTTGCCACCAGAAAGTTTTTAAGCTGCAGGAGACCGAGATGATGGACCCAGAACTAGACTACACACTCATGAGAGTCTGCAAGCAGATGATAAAGGTAAGCCCCCCACCCAGCATAAGTACATGGTGAGTGAGAATAATGCTTGCTAGTTTAGATTTCAGGATAAAATTGTATATTCTTTTGCTTCAGCCTGCTTTATATAGCTAAGAGGTAGTTCTTATAAGTGTTGTCCCTAGACCAGCAATATCATCTGGGAAATTACAAATTCTTGGGCCCTACCCAGGTCTACTGATACAAAAACTAGGAGTAGAGCAGCCAGTTTTAACAAGCTCTCCAAGGGTTGTTCTTGTTCTTATTCATGCTCAAGTATAATAACCAACTTCACTGATCTGAGCTTGAGTAAATAGATGTCACAAATCTAAGAAAGGTTCTGAGGGCAGTTCGTTGGCATTGTACTGAGCATGTCACCAGAACTAGCCAGAGCAGTGGAGAGGGAGGCATAATGCTCATAATGTCTGCACTGAGTTTATTACAGGACCTGTGGATTAGCAGGTAGAGCTGAAGCTCTGACTCCAGGGATATTAATAAATATACAGGGGCTAGTTCCCAGGCCTATTGGCCCTAAAGCTGAGAGTCAGACCAAACATGTCCTTTTCTGACATCCCTGTCCACATTAGTGACTGGGTAAAGAAGGCGTGATGGCTGCATGATCCCATGGTAAAATATTTTGTTCATGCTTCACTGGTATTTATATTCATAAGATGCCATATAATATAACCACATTGGTCAGGATGTGCAAAGGAGGAAGTAGTGAGGTTGTAGGAAAGGAGAACAAGACAGTAGAGAAAAAGTGGAATAGCTATTTCACTTGTAACCAGTGATTTGTTTGAGCTGCTTCTGTCATGAGTTCCCCATAGAAGTAAGAGTAATGATACGGTGTTTGTTGTGATATTTGGATAATTGTTTTTATAAAACATTGCTCTTTTGCAGAGATTTTGTCCAGAAGCAGATTCTAAAACCATGTTGCAGTGCTTAAAGCAAAATAAAAACAGTGAGTTGATGGATCCCAAATGCAAACAGATGATAACCAAGCGACAGATCACTCAGAACACAGGTATCATCTTAGCTTGGCTTTCTGCTGTCCATGAGCAGCTTAAATAGAATGAATGGGCTTATAATTATCTTGAAAGTGCAGGGGCTTTCTTGCTAATGAAATTGAAAGTCTGAAAGTAAGCAACCAACTTACTTTTCCTTTAAAGAGTGTTCAGAGGAGTGGAATGAAAGTCATGGTAAAGCAGAAGCTGAAGAAATAAAAAGTTACCCATGGTGTATGTGGGAGTGAGGGGTGCGCAAAAGGAGTGAGGGCTGTATTCTTCGAAAACACTAGAGGTTTTTTAAAATACTAATTTAGTAGAAGAACTAGGGAGTAGGACAGAGGTGTGGGAGGGTGAGAGGATTCACCCCAGAGTCAGAATGGGGAGCACGACAGGTTAATGTACTGAAATACACTGCCGAGGGGAGCCGCGGGCAAGACAGGAGAGGTCTGCTGCACCATGTGGGTCAGCTCCCTGGCCAGGGATCAGACTCAGGCAATTACAGTGGTAGCACTGGGTCTCACATCCTAGGCCATCTGGAGATTTGAGATTTTTTAAAAAACTTACTTATTTATGCATACAAGACCTGAGGTATAGGCCAGAAGTGTGTGTGTGGGGGGGGAGTGGCAATAGTAAGAGGATTCACCAGAGACAAATTGGGGAGCAGAACAGGCAGATAGTCTGATATACATTGCTGAAGGGAGCAGCAGGTGAGGCAGGAGAGGTCTTTTGTGCTACATGGGTCAGCTCCCTGGCTGGGGATCAAACTGGTGCTGCAGTGGCTGCAGACAGCTTCATAGTTCTGTGCTTTAACCCGTTGCACCACCAGGGAGGGCCGACCACTAGAGATTTAGTAAGCCTTCATGCGTAAGTATATGGGCAGTCTGTTTTAGAACACAGTTTTCATTTGTGAGTTACCAGACTTTGTAACTGATGGACCAGGTGAATTGCGTATTCTGTTCTCATAATTTTCACAAATATCTGTCATGTGGAGGTTGTTATGTCCACTTGATGTTCTTTAGCACAATGGTACCATGAGACCCTTGGGGCTCTTCACAGCTACTGCTCACCAAATTGTGCTGCTGATAAAAACAGTGTAGTGAGAGCTCAGTAAGCTTGTATTAAGTAAGCGAATTGATGTGTCCATGTTTGTTGACATAGTTTGCCTCCTTTTGGAAGGTGGATCTCTATAAACATTTTGAATCCATGTAGAATGTTACCGTGTATTTATCACTTTTTACTCTAGATTATCGCTTAAACCCTGTGCTGAGGAAGGCATGTAAAGCTGACATTCCTAAATTCTGTCATGGTATCCTGACTAAGGCCAAGGATGATTCAGAACTAGAAGGTCAAGTCATCTCCTGCCTCAAACTAAGATATGCCGACCAGGTAACTGTCCCAGGCCCTGCTGAGACAGCGGGGCCACCACTGTCGCTGGCAGCTTTTCCTTCGGAAGTCTGAAACTCGCCCCTACTTTGCTAGGGCCTTTTCAGACCTTCCGAAGCCAGGGACCCAGTAATGCCTGAAATCATCTGAGATACATCTGTTTTCTTTGTCACACATAGCGCCTCTCCTCAGACTGTGAAGACCAGATACGGATTATTATCCAGGAGTCTGCTCTAGATTACCGACTGGATCCTCAGCTCCAGCTGCACTGCTCCGATGAGGTAGGAACTGGTTTTCTGAAGAGCTGGTCAAAGAAGTTTCTATTGGAGAAAGTTCTTGACACTTGTTCCTTTCAACACAGAATCCAGGGACAGTTGAGGTTCATCTCCTAGGCTCCCCATTATTGAATTTCTGGTTCTTTGCAACACTGTGCTATACTTGGCATCAGTCTTGTCACTAACAATGTTGGTTCCATATTTTTCTGTTGAACAACAGTGTTACCTTATTATCTCTGTCTGCATTTAGTTTGTAAGTTTACTGATGGTCAACTTGCCAGAAAGATAAAAGTGCTCCTATAATAGCTCCAAAGAAGTTGGAGCTTAGAAATATTTGACTTCCTAGCTAGAGAGGCCATGTGGAGAATCCTGTTATAGCTAAATATAAATATAAATATATTTCAAGTATAAATGTATTTCAGCTAAATTTATTTCACAGAGCTGTCCAAAGAAAGTAATGGCTGGTTGTGTACACATTACCATATTGTCACTCTGGGTTAACGTTTGCTTTTGGTATTTAACTTGGCCGTATAACTGTTCTCCTGTGGAATCAGGGCACAGCTTTCTTTGTGACCAGTCCTGAGACATTGACTCAAACCTTAGGGTTGTGGACCTATCAGTAGAAGGGAGTGTGACTAGATTTCTGCTGTGTGCCAGGCCTAGTGAGGAAGAACAGAACCTGACTTCTCACACAGGAGGGAGGGGAGAGGAATGCTCTGGGAATCTTTGAGAAGAGCCCTGGGCTCTGTGGGAGGCTCCAAACCCTCAGGTTTCAGAGACCAAGGTTTTTGGCAAGAATGGGGACCTGTTTCTGTATCTCCTGACCAGATCTCCAACCTGTGTGCTGAAGAAGCAGCAGCCCAGGAGCAGACGGGTCAGGTAGAGGAGTGCCTCAAAGTGAACCTGCTCAAAATCAAAACGGAAATGTGTAAAAAGGTAACCACCATCACTTACCTCCCTCCATACACACTTGATGGTATCTCCTCTTTCTCTTTTCCTTTTAAATCCTACCATCTGCACATCTTTAAACCTTCTTCCAAGAGTTCTGTGCTGTTATTTCTTACCAAACTAATGGTCCTTGACCACTCATCACCTTAACTTAAACATTCCTTTGTATGTACCAGTTGGTCGTGTTATCTTATCCTAACTTCTGAACCTTTGTTTCAGGGGACTGTAGTCCAATAGTGAAGCAAATAAATCAGTTCTAATACATCAGTATGTATTCTATATACATACAGATTTGTGAAATTAAAAATTGGGTTCATACCAGAAGCATCACATAAAAGCAAATTTATTAAAACAAATTGAAAATGAAATAATGTATTTGTTTTAAAAGGTTTATCATTTTTTTAAAATGTGACTCAGTGGTTTTGAGTTGACATGAAGACATGCATGATTTCTCATTTTCTGAAAATGCTTCTGGTTTCATCCATTCTGGGGAGCAGTGGCAGTGGGACCAAGTCAAACCCAGATATTTCCTCCAACTTTCATCAAATGG